TATCCCCCCCCCCATTGGTTCCTCCGGTTCCATCTTCTCTAATCACTCCTTTCTGCAAAGAGTACATCATCCCGGTCAAAGTGGTTCCCATGACGTCACCGAGCTCGTCATCGTCATCATCATCGTCGTCGTCATCGGCGACAGCGGCGGCTGTGGCAGGTAGGCCGGTTGTTCTTGATGGCTCGTCGTCATCGTCGGGCTCATCGTCGTCGTCATCGTCCTCGCCGTCCGAGCCCGGACGCTACCTTGGGACGTCTGTGGGGCTCGAGTCGTTTTCGGGCGACGAAGAGTCTGTGACGCTGCCGTCGACGACGCCGGTGGACGTCATCTTCTCCAACATGTCGTTTGCGATCAAGGCGACCAAGGAAACGCCGGAGCGGCGGATCCTGTCGGGAGTCTCCGGCTACGCGCGGGCTGGGACGCTCACGGCGCTGATGGGACCGTCAGGCGCGGGCAAGACCTCACTGCTCAACGCCATCGCGCAGCGGATTGCAACGTCGTCTAAGAGTGAGCTCAGCGGAAAGCTGTATCTCAACGGGGCGCGGGCGGATGGAGACCAGTTCCGGGCGCTTGCCTCGTACACGGTGCAGGACGATTTGCTGCTCGGCGACCTGTCGGCGTACGAGTCTGTGCTCTTTGCGGCGCGGATGACGCTCGGCGGCGTGAGCGATGGCGAGCGGAAGCAGCGGACCAACGCTGTGCTCGACGCGCTCGGCATCGGGCACGTCAAGGACACGCATGTGGGCAAGCCGGGCATCAAGCGTGGCATCTCGGGCGGCGAGCGGAAGCGGGTCATGATTGCCGTCTCGGCCGTCAACGACAAGCCGATCATGCTCCTCGACGAGCCGACGTCGGGTCTCGACGCGTCTGCAGCGTACACGGTGGTGGCGCGGCTGCGGGCGCTGGCGCACAAGCGAGCCAAGACTGTGTTGGCTACCATCCACCAGCCGGCCATCGACACCTTTGCGCTCTTTGACAACGTCATGGTCCTCGCCACCTCGGGCCGGGTCGCCTACTTTGGCCCTGTTGACGCCCTCGCCTCGTACTGCTCGACCGTTCTCCGCGAGCCGGTCGGCAAGTACGTGAACCCTGCCGACCACATCCTCAAGCTCCTTGACCCGCGCGCCGAGGCCAAGTCGGCCGACGGCGCGGACAAGGTCGCCTCCATTGTCGACGCCTACCAGAGCCAGGCGTCCGAGCTCTCGCTCGAATGGCCGTCGACGGCGTCTAGCACCGACTCGGACCTCGCGGACGCCCTCGTCGAGACCGCTGCCCAGCCGACGCCTTCGCTCTTTGCCCGCATGCGCCACCTCGTCGGCCGCTCGCTGACGACTCAGATCCGGTCCAAGGTCCTCACCCGGGCCCGGATAGGGCAGACGATTCTCCTTGGCTGCCTCATCGGCCTCGTCTATCTCCAGCTCGACCGCGGCGAGTCCGGCGGGCAGGACCGGCTCGGCCTGGTCTTCCTCATCGGGTTCAATCAGTTTGTGCTTGGACTCATCGGCTCGGTCAACGCGCTCCCATCGGAGCGCTCGGTCGCTGTCAACGAAGTCAGTGATGGCAAGTACTCGGCCGGCATGTACTTTGTGGCCAAGTCCATCGCAGACACTCCGTTCCAGGTCATCTTTGCCGCCATCTTCTCCTCTATTGTTTACTGGATGGCCGGTCTCCGCTCCGACGTCGACAAATATCTCCTCGCCGTTGTTGTTGTTGTCCTCATGTCGCTCATCGGCTCGGCGCTCGGCTTTCTCGTTGCCGCCCTTGCCGGCACCACCGAGGTTGCGCTCGCCATTGCACCGGCCCTCATTGTGCCGCTCCTCATCTTCTCGGGTGTCCTTGTCTCCATCGACGAGGTCCCGGTCTTCCTCCGCTGGCTTCGGTTCCCCAACCCGGTCCGCTGGTCCATGGTCGGCATGGCAACCCAGGAGCTCGAGGACATGACCTTTTCATGCCCAGACCGCGCCGGCGGCTCGTGCCTCATCCCCACTGGCGACGACTTTCTTCGCATCCAGAGCGTGGACTCGGACGGCGGTATCGGAACTGCCTTGCTTGTCCTCTTTGGCACGCTCGCCGTCATCCGCATTGCCGGCGCCGCTGCCATGGTCTTTGCCGTCTCGCGTCAGCGCCGCATGTAGGCCAGGTGCACGCGCGCGTGGTAAATGATTGAAAAGGATACGCGTGGAGGCTCATCATGGCATGAGGCAGTTGTGTAGTCTTACGGCTGTGTTTATCGGCCTCGGCCACGGCCGCCGCCGCCGCGACCACGGCCGCCGCCGCCGCGACCACGGCCGCCGCCGCCGCGACCGCCACGGCCGCGGCCGCGACCACGGCCGCGCTGCGAGAGCTTCTTCTTGTACTCGTCCTTGCGGAACTTGCGGATCTCGTCGGTGGACCGGACGGAGCGGCCGTGAACGCCGCCAGTCTTAGCGGCGTGGCGCTCCTGTGCACTGGTGGCGGCCGCGTCGTTGTTAAAGTTCGAGACGCGCTTGGTGTAGATCTTGCCCTTGCGCTTGATGCGGACGATAGAGGTCGAGTCGCGGAGGCGGCGGGTGAGCTTGACATCCTCGCGGGTCCCAGTCGCCTGCAGCGAGATCTTGCTCTTGTTCTGCCACTCCTGGTACATGTCCTTGGTGTACGAGGTGCGGATCTTGGCGCCCGACTCGGTGACAACAACCTTGCCCGGCTTGTCCTTGCCCTTGTCGTTGGGGTCGACCATGACGTACTTCTTCTTCGACCGGTTCCACTTGTACTGGTTGCGCCGGCGGACAAGCGCGTCGTCGTCCTCGGGCAGGAGATTAAGGACAAGGTCGTCGCCAACGTCCTGCAGCCTCTGGATCGAGCGCGAGGTCTTGACCGCGAGGCCGGCGTCGGACGCGGCCGAGGCCTTGAACGGGTTCATGAAGAACTTCTCCTGCTCCTCAGCCAGCAGCGTCTTGCGCTTCTTACGCCCTGTCTCAACAGCCCCGCTCGCCACGGCCGCCTGTGGATCGAGGCCGGCCTTGGCCAGCTTGCGCTTAGCGCGCTTCGAGAGCCGGACCTTGGGCTTGCCGCCGGAGACAGCCTCGCGCTCTTGCGCGGCCTTGGCGCGCAGCGCGAGCATATGGTTCATCTTGGCCTCGTAAAGCGCACGGTCACGCTCGTTGGGCAGCACGCTTGTCCGCTCATCGACAAACAGGTCGCCGTTCTCGCCCTCGACCAGCGGCTCCTGTTCGTCGTCGTTGCCTTCGAGGCCAGCAGCGGCGACTTCGTCGGCCATGGCCTCGTTTTCCGACCTGCGGCGATAAAGCCCTGGTCGTGCTCGCGCTTCATCCGCATGACTTCGGACGTCTGGCCGAGCTCCATGATGGTGGTCCTGGGCCGGAACGACGAGATGGCGGCAATCATGTCGTGTTGCGCGCTCAGGTCGCTGTTGCCCTCCACCGCCGCCACAAACAGCGGGTGGATAACCGAGGTCTCGAGCTTGCGTGCGCGTCCCACCGAGGCCTTGGCTGCTGATGACCGCGTCTTGTAGAACTTCTTGTACGCGCGCTGCGCCGTTGCCGCCAGCATGGAGAGCCGAGACGAGCCGGCGACGGCCTTCTCCACCTTTTCGCGAAAGGCTGCAGTGAGGGTGTCTGGCACAATGCCGTAGTACGCCTCGCCGTGCTTGGGCGTCGTCTCGCCGTCGGGCATCTTGCACGCCAGGTTGCGTCCGAGATACAGGAAGAGATCGACCATGTACGGCATGTCGTCGGTGGTTGTCAGCGAGTACGCCGAGCCGATGCGCCCGGCACGGGCGGCACGACCGACGCGGTGGGTAAAGAGCTTTGGCGTGGCCGGAAAGTCGAAGTTGATGACGTTGTCAAGGAGCGGGATGTCGATACCGCGGGCGGCAACGTCGGTCACAATCAGCACCTTGACCTTGCCGGTCCGGAACGAGCCGACCGCAATCTTGCGCGCCGTTACGTCCATGGTTCCGTACGCCGCAGAGCATGGAATGCCGACATTGTCCAGGAGTTCCTCCAGGAACTCGACGTGGTACTTGGTCGAGACAAAGATGATGGTCGAGTGCTCGCGGGGAATGTGCGACATGAGCAGGAAGAGGAGCGTTCCGATCTTGGCCTCCTTACGGACGAGGAAGAACGAGAGGCCGAGGTTCTCTGACATCTTGCGCTCGACGTCGAGCCGGACCAGCGCCGGGTCGCGGAGGCCGGCACGCGCAAAGGCAACCAAGCTCTCGGGCATGGTTGCCGAGAACAGGAGTGTCTGCCGCTTGTTGGAGACTTTGAACAGGATCTCGTTGATCTGGACCTCAAAGCCCATCTCGAACAGCCGATCAGCCTCGTCAAAGACAAGAAACTCGACAGCCGCCAGCGAGAGCTTGGCCTCGATGATGATGTGCATGAGTCGGCCGGGCGTCGAGATAATGATGTCTGGGTTGGTCGCCAGCTGGGTGAACTGCGAGTCGATCGACTCGCCACCCACCAGCAGGCTTGCCCGCAGATCGGTGTACTTGGCCAGCTCCTTTGTGAACTTGAGCGTCTGGACGGCCAGCTCGCGGGTGGGTGAGAGCAGCAGCGCCCTGGCTCCGATCTTGAGCGAGTGCCGCTGCAGGCGGTGGATCATCGGGACCAGGAACGCAGCAGTCTTGCCGGATCCCGTCCGCGCCATCGCCACCACATCCATGCCTTGCAGCGCAAGCGGAATGGCCTTGCGCTGGATGGGCGTCGGCACCTTGTAGCCCTTGTGGAGAATGGCCCGGAGGAGCTCCTGCCGGAGGCCAAAGGTCTGGAACCCGCCCTGCACCACCCGCTTGCCCTTCCGAGACTTGCCGCGCTTGTCCACCTCCTCTTCATCCGACACGTAGTCGGCGCCGGACATAAAGTCCACCACAGCACGCGCAGCGGGAAAATCGCCCACCTCGCCAAGCCCGTCGCCCATGCCCGACGACTCGTCGTCGTCCGTGTACGACCCGTCCGTCGACGAGTGCATCTCGGAGCCAGAGCTCTTGCCACTGGCCGACTCGCTCTCGTACTCGGAGCCTGAGCCTGAGCCCGAGCCCGAGCCGGAGCCCAGACCCAGGCCTAGGCCAGCGTCTGAGCCAGAGCCGGAGCCTGAGCCCGAGCTCGACGACGAGCCAGCGTTGTCATCCTCCGACCGACTCGCCGACTCGGGGGAGCCCGAACCAATGACAGCAGACATTGCCGCGGCCACGACCTTGTTCTTCCGCTCGCGCGGGTTGCCTCTGGCCTTGCCCATCGCTTTGTTCTTGGTTGGGTGAGGTGAGGTGAGGTGGTTGAGCGAGCGCGGCGGGGGGGGTGGGGGGGGGGGGGGGGGGGTGGACTGAGGTGATGGATGGGAGATGATGGGGGAGAGTCGGCAAGAGGCGGCAGCAGCGGCTCGGTGTGGCGTTAACGTTTGCAATGCTTGCGAGGGCTAGCGGGAGCGGCGCGAGCTCGGCGCTCGGCGGCTTCAGCAGCGCGGATGCGCTTGAGCTCGCGGGCGTCTTTGCGACGGCCGAAGCGGGATAAGGATCAACGTTTGCAACGCTTGCGAGGGCTAGCGGGAGCGGCGCGAGCTCGGCGCTCGGCGGCTTCAGCGGCGCGGATGCGCTTGAGCTCGCGGGCGTCTTCGCGACGGCCGATGCGGGCGGTCTGGCGCTCCATGGCCTCAATGGCATCAAATGAGCCAACATCCATGTCCGAGTCCGAGTCGGAGCCGGCGTCGAGGCCCATCTCGCGCATCTGCTGGCGGGCGTACTCTTGCTTGCCGGGGCGGTGGAAGATCGAGGTGATGAGATCGGTAAACTGCGAGCGCGACCGCTCAGTGCGGACCGCGCGGGCAGGAGGGTGGTCGGGCTCCGAGTCTGACGACGAGATGGAGAGCCCATTCAAGACGTTGCTTGGTGGCGCGGCCTGCTCACGCTTCCGCTTGCGGCTAGGGACTGATGCCTCGGTGCGGAGACCGGCGCCAGGCGGAAACTTGGGCTTTGGTCTGGGGCTGGGCTTCGGCTTGGACTTGGAATTGGCCTTACGCAGACCGCCTGATGGTGGTTGGCGCTGCGGCTGCGAGTCTGGCCCTGGATTGCGGGCCTTCTTCAGTTGGTGGAGAGCGGCGCGCTGAGCAGCGGCGCGCTTGCGAGCGCCCTCCTTGGCGAGGGCGGCCCTTCGCTTGCGGTCAGCCGCCTCTTGCTCCGCAAGGCGGTCGATCTCGGCCACGTCAATGGTGCGGGTCTCAGTAAACCGGCGCTCCTTGGTGTGGGCCCACTCGTTGCCAGCAACAAGCTGCGAGACCTTGCGGCCGGTCTTGGCCTCCATGGCCTTGCGGGTGGCGGTCCGGGCGGCACGGGCCTTGGCCATCTTCTCCTCGCGGGCCTCACGAGTAGCCCGCTGCCGCCAGTATCGTTCGCCCTTGGCTGCCTTCTTGGCCGCCACCGCCGCCACCGCCGCCTTGGCTTCCATCGCCTCTGTCTCCGCCTTGGCCTTGGCCACGGCCACGGCCACCCTCCGCCGCGCCGCGGCCTCGGCCCGCGCTTTCTGAGCAGCCTTGACCGCACCCTCGCGCTTGAGCATGGCCCGCGCCTGAAGCCGCGCCTTCTTCTTGCGCTCGGCCTCGAGAACAAGCGCAGCTTGCTCCATGACGGGCGTGAGGTGGGGGTGCAGAGGGTGGAGAGGGTGGAGAAGGGGGTCGTGTTTGCGATCGTGATCGTGATCGTGATCGTGATCGGCGGTAACCGAGGCTTACGACCTTTTTCGTGAGCGAGAGCGGCGGGCGGCGAGGACGGTGAGAGTAGGGAGAGCGTGGTACACTCGGCGCGGCTGTGGCCGGGACAAGATATAGGTTGGCGTGTGAAAGGGTAAGTATGAGGGAAGGAGGATGTGGAGGGGGTGGAAGGGAGGGAAGGAGGGAGGGGAAGGGGGGGGGGGGTGGAGCGGTGGTCACTCACTTGGTTGTTGGGCAGACAGCCGAGCAGACAGACCGACAGACAGAGCTACGGACAGACAAGCAGGTATCACTGGAGAACATGGTCAAGCGGAAGACCATGAAGCAGGCTGCGGGTGTCGAGGAGACTGGGACCGAGGTGGAGGCTGGAGTCGAGGTGGAGGCTGGAGTCGAAGTGGAGGCAGCCGAGGCTGGTGCCGAGGCTGGTCCTAGGGCCGCCGCTGAGGCCGCCTCAGGAGACGATGCCTTGGCTGGAGCTGGTGCTGAGAACGAGGCTGATGTCGTCAAGGGCGACGAGGACGAGCGCGAGGACGAGCGCGAGGACGAAGACGAGCCGTCGATCGAGCCGCGGCTGCGTGCGCAAGATCCGGATGATGATGGCGAGGGCGAGGGTGAGGGCGAGGGCGAGAGCGAGGATGTCGGCGCGAGTGTCGGTGCAGGCGAAGGTGAAGGAGAAGATGACGATGACGATGGGCGCGGGCCGGTGAGGACCATTTTTGTGTACGGCCTGCCGGCTGACTTTACCCAGCGCGAGCTGGACAACATGTTTGCGTTTGTGGAAGGCTTTGAAGACGCGACGATCCGGATGGACAAGAAAGGAACGCACAGCATTGCGTTTGTGCTCTTTGACACGGTGGAGCACGCGACGGCGGCAGTGGCTCGGTGCAACGGGCACATGGTCGACAAGCGGCGGTCAGTGTCGATGACGGTGGAAATGGCTAAGAACAACATGACCATGCGTAAGCGCGACTATCACGACTCGTCGACGTCGCCCGAGTCGAGCTCGGCGCGGCCGTCGAAGCGCTACCGCCGCAACGATTCGTCAGCGTCGTATGCGTCGTCGATGCGCGGGTTCTACCAGCAGGGTCCCGGCCCGGCGTTGCCACCGCCGCAACTGCAGGAGCTCCCGCCGCAGAGCATGTACGCTGCAGACCCGTACGTGGCACAGCAAGCGCCCGGCTACCCACCGATGGGCATGTACGGCGGCGCGCCGGCGGTTTACGGCGGGCCGCCGCCCGGCGGGTACCAGGCCGCAAGCGCGGGCGGTGGCTATGGCTCGGGCTACGGCGGCTCGCCGCCTCCGGGCGGCGCGCCCGGCGGTGGCATGGGCGGCGGCGGGAGTGGCTCTGGCGGCGTCGACACGCTCTTTGTGGGCTCGATCACTCCAGGCACGACTCAGTATGATCTTGAGGGAATCTTCTCGCGCTACGAGGGCTTCCTCTCGGTCTCGTACCTCGCCGACCGCTCGATCGCCTTTGCGCGGTTCATGGACCACGGCTCGGCCGCCGTCGCTCTCGACGTCCTCCGCGACTTTCTCATCCAGCACTACGGCTGGTCGATCTCATTTGCCCGCTCCTCGTCCTCTAACCGCAAGCGGCGTTAAGCAGCGCGTCAAGCTCAAACCGCTGGCAGCGGCCACAGTAAAATGCAAGCATAGCGCGAGCCTGCACACTTTCTTCTTTTCCTTCTGCGACGTTCTCGCCTCGCCTTCGCCTTCGCCCAAACGGGGCAAAGCCAAGAGCGGTGGCTCGTGTCAAAACGGCGATGTGACTCGAGACCAGCCGAGCAGGAGAGGCGAGGGGAACGGCGCAGGAGAAGCATAGACACACGACAACAGACAGAGAGCAAGAGACGGAACATGTCGAATGTGCCTGCACATGTGAGCAAGACGGCGTCCAAGCTGAGCGAGGCTGTGAGCGGTGGCGAGGTCGCCGAGGCCGTGGCGGAGATGATGGCTGTCATCGATGCGGCGCCAAGCGATGAGGCCGAGGAGAAGGTCCGCATGGAGTACATTTCGGGCGAGGTGCCGGTAGTGCTGGGAGGCCATGCGAGGGCTGGCAAAGAGAGTGCTGACTTTGATCTCATTGCTGCCGCTGCTCTCGGTATTGCAGAGCTGGCAAAGGGCAAGCGCTTCCGCGAGATCCTCGGCGGACAGGCAGCCGAGGCTGTGGTCGAAGCTCTTGATGCCGTGCTGGCGACGGCCGAGGCGAGCGAGTCGCGGGTGGACAGCGAGGAGAAAGTGGCCAAGGCGCTGGTGCAGTGCCTGCGGAGCGTGGGGAACATGGCGTTCTACTGTGATAAGAACCGCGAGGCGCTCCACGCTGCTGGGCTCGGCCCGGTTGCTGTCCGGCTCCTGACTTGGATCCTCGACGATTCCGCGTCGCCGGGCCTCGACTCGCGGCTGGGCATGGTCACGATGGGCGGTGTGGGCAACTACATTGCGTCCGACTCAAACACGTTTGTAGACGAGATCCTCGCGGCGGGCACGCTTCTGCACGACTTTGTCTTTGCCGGCCTCACCCGGCGCGGTCGTACGGCCTGGTCACCATGTCGCTGCGGGCGTTCCAGTCGACTTGGTTTGACGCCACGTGGAAGACGATCTTTGGCGAGTACCATGTCGTTGACGTTCTTTGTGCGCTCCTTGCTGGCTCGGAAGCCGACGCCTCACTTGTGCTCGAGTCGCTGGCGACGGTGACTGACCAGGCCGAGGTGGCGGTGGCGGTGGCGGCGGCGGAACTGCCGGCGCCTCGGGCCGGCGAAAAGCTGCTCGACGTGGTTATGAAGGCAGCGAGCTGTGTAGATGAGGACGAAGAAGACGAGGCTGCAGCGGCGACGCTCATCCTCTCGCACCTCGCGCTGGTCAACGAGCTGGCCAACGAGCTTGTGGATCGCGGCGCGGTGGCGCGGTTCTGCGCGCTGGCGTCGGTGGCACCAAGCGCGGGCGGGGCAGCGATGGCGACGCGCAAGCCGCTCATGCTACTGATGGGTAATTTGGCGCGGAGCGAAGAGCAGTGCGTGGCGCTGATGAAGGCCGGATTTTGTGAGGCTGCGGTGTTCAATCTTCGGCTGGTGGCCGACGACGATGACGAGCTCCCGCTACAGCACGCGATTCTTGGCTCGCTGCGTAACCTCGCCATTGCGCGCCCAGTCCGCGCCGTGCTGCGGACGTCAGGCGTACTCGACGAGCTGCTTCCGATCCTGGCCTCGCCACACCAGCCGATGCAGTTTAACGCGGCGGCAATTGCGCGGCATTTGGTGAAGCGGCCGGCGGCGGCCGAGCTGGAGACGCCCGAGGGCGCCGAGGACGCGTCGGGCGCAGCCGAGGCTGCACTCTACCTCGCCACCGTGCCTGGATTTGTGGCGCGATTGGCCGAACTTGCAGCAGTCGAAGCGGTCAACGTCAAGATGGAGTCTGCGCGTGCGCTGGCAGCGCTGGCGGCAACGCCCGAGTCGTCTATGGCGACCGGCGCGGCGCTGCCCTCGCTTGCGCCGTTCACGGTCCTCCTCGAGTCTGAGCATGCGGTGCTCCATACCGAGGCTGTCGCGGCGCTCGGCTCGCTCGCTGCAGTCTCCCCTCCGCCGGAAGCATTCTCGTCTTCGGACGCCCGTGACGGGTGTGTGGCGGCGCTCGACGCGCTCGGCGAGTCCGCGCTCGATGCTGTCGCTGTGGCGGCGTCGATTCGGGGAACGGCATAAAAACAGTTGCGTATGTGCACAGCATGGCGTGCGGTGGAGCACTGGTCAGCGCAGGCCACGGTCATCACTTGCCCTTGTCCGGGCCGAGCTTGGCCACCTCCTCGTACGAGTAGTACGACTCGTAGCTGGACGATCTGGGCGGGCCCATCTCGTCGGACGAGATGACGTAGTCGCCATGCGGGCGACGGAGCGGCGGCGGCGGAGCTTGATCCAAAGCAGTAAAGTCCTCCCGAAGCTCCCTCTCGGCCACTCTGTCCATTCGAGTCACGACAGCATCCTCGTCCAGGTAGCCCGCGCCACGACGAGCGTACTTGCGGGCGGCGAGGAGGATGACAAAGACCACGAGGCCAGCCACAGCAAAGATGCTCATTACAAAAGTAATCTCGTTCTCGGTAGCAATGATTCCGACACTCATCCTCACTCGCTCGTCCAGAGTGAGGTCGTGCCCGTGTCCCTTGTGCCCGTGCTGGCGCACCGTGTCGGTGAACGGCTACTGTCACCGAACTGCCTGTCCGCACGTGACACACTCGCTGATGATGACCGACGGACTCGCAATGGAAAATGAATGGAAGCAAGGCGATGTGGGTGCATAAATGTGTGTTCAAGGGTGTTGAGCAAGGCGGAGGGAGGTATGTGTGGCGTGGATGATGGACTGCTGCTACTTGCCGTTGTCGACAAGCTCGAGGAGGAAGCCGGCGATGAGGTTAAAGATGATGCCGACAATGACTGACCACCAGCCGAGGCCGACGCCCGAGAACGAGTCCGAGGGGAGGACTCCGGGCTGCTCGTTGCCCTTGATGGAGAAAAAGTACCAGAAGAGCGGGCCGAGGAGTTGGAAGATGAGGGCTGTAAAGCCCGAGCGCGAGGCACACGACGAGGCCTTGTTCTGCGAGCGGGTGAAGAACTCAAAGGCTGCGCAGACGAGCGAGATGAGCATTTCCACCAGGGCGAGGATGACGCAGAGTGCGCAGATGATGCCGCCGTTGTACAACTTTTGCCACGCATCCTTCTGCTCCTTGGTGTTCGATGCATCCTCCCCGAGCTCTTTGTAGCCCTTGCACGTGGTCTGCGAATTGCCGGTTCCACAGAACTCGAACAGGCCCCACTTGTACCTGATCCTGCCGAGGACGGTATCCGACTCGTGGACGTACCATTCTGGCGTGAACAGGCCCACTATGACCCGACAATCCCCATCATCGTGGTGGGTGATGCGTGTGCGATTCCGGCCAGGGTGCAATGAAGGCCACGTGTGATCAATGACCAGTGCGATCGCAGGTGCGATGAAGGCCACGTGTGATCAATGACCAGTGCGATCGCGGGTGCGATGAAGGCCACGTGTGATCAATGACCAGTGCGATCGCGGGTGCGATGAAGGCCACGTGTGATCAATGACCAGTGCGATCGCGGGTGCGATGAAGGCCACGTGTGATCAATGACCAGTGCGATCGCGGGTGTGATGAAGGCCACGTGTGATCAATGACCAGTGCGATCGCGGGTGCGATGAAGGCCACGTGTGATCAATGACCAGTGCGATCGCGGGTGCGATGAAGGCCACGTGTGATCAATGACCAGTGCGATCGCGGGTGTGATGAAGGCCACGTGTGATCAATGACCAGTGCGATCGCGGGTGCGATGAAGGCCACGTGTGATCAATGACCAGTGCGATCGCGGGTGTGATGAAGGCCACGTGTGATCAATGACCAGTGCGATCGCAGGTGCGATGAAGGCCACGTGTGATCAATGACCAGTGCGATCGCGGGTGCGATGAAGGCCACGTGTGATCAATGACCAGTGCGATCGCAGGTGCGATGAAGGCCACGTGTGATCAATGACCAGTGCGATCGCAGGTGCGATGAAGGCCACGTGTGATCAATGACCAGTGCGATCGCGGGTGTGATGAAGGCCACGTGTGATCAATGACCAGTGCGATCGCAGGTGCGATGAAGGCCACGTGTGATCAATGACCAGTGCGATCGCGGGTGCGATGAAGGCCACGTGTGATCAATGACCAGTGCGATCACAGCCGGCGTGGCCACGATGTGCAACCATGACCAGAGCGCAACCACAGCCAGTAAACGACCACCAGCCCCCAGCCAACACGCCACCAGGCGGCAACCATTCGTGTGGCACGCCAACACCACCGCCCCAACGCCAGCCCACCCACCGACGACCCCCACCGCCAACATTGTACGAATATGTATTTGCATGTGTGTGCATGTGTGAGTGCTAGAAGTATGTGGCTGTGGCTGTGGCTGTGGCTGCGTGGCTGTGGCCGCGTGGCTGTGACTGTGCCCATGGGCAACAGGGTCAGGGTCCGGCTGCAGAGCCAAGGTGACTCGGTTGTGGCGGAGGCGAGGAGAAGGGCATGGACGTACGGACAAGGGAGATGACTGCAAGTAGATAGAGGATGGTGGCGGGGAGGGCAACCCATCGCAACGCCATGGTTGGGATGGAGAGTCAGATGTGGGGGGGGTGACAAACTACAGCCACGGTCACGGCAGCCGAGGCGGTGTGTGACAGACACAGCCCATCAAGACCGAGACCTTGGCCGTGATCATCATCGGCACAACCACCCACCATTCCCATCGTTTATCTGCTCTACACGGCAAAAACACATCCTCGGCATGGGCAAAAAAGCCGAGGCATCCATGCCGCTCTTCGGGGCCAGAGTGCCCGGGCGCATAGCCGTCAGCGAAGGCGGATGCAAGGACAGCAGCTAGCTGGGCGAGGAGAACCTTGTGCCGCCCGTGGCGCTGGACCCATGTAAGCTCCAGCGCGGCATCATCAAAGTTCTCCCAGCGGATTTGCGCCACGCAGTCAAAGACGACGGCGGCAGGCACCTTGTCGATGGCAATTACCACGAGCGGAACGTCGAGGCCGCCAATGCCCTCGACAAAGCCCTCAACCCGCCGCAGCGCGGCCTCGGAGATCGCCCGCCGGATTCGCCGGTTTGGCGAGGTGGTGACAAGCCGAACGTCAACGGCATTGGTCGACGTCGACGCTGCTGCTCCCCCACCGCCCACAAGTCCATGGTGCGCAACCTCGTGCGCCGTCGTCTCGCGATGCCGGCAGATGTACGACACGACCTCGCTCAACTCAAGCTCGATCTCCGACCGTGTCCAGATCGCCCTCACCTTGGCCGACCGCGTCTCGCGGAGCGTCTTGTCCTTGAGCATGACCAGCCAAGAGCATCCACGCTCCACGCAGTACGCCACCAGATCATTCAGCGTTGCACTCACGTTTTGCGGCGCAATGCCTGCAGGGAGCTCCGCCTCCCACAGCCGCTCCAGCAGGAGCAGTCGCTCCGCCATCAGATCGCGCTCGCCGAGCGCAGCCACCACAACCTGAACACTCGCCCCGAGCCGTGCCTCCTGTACCAGCTGCGAGTGGAGTGCTGCCCGATTGATCATCATTACAAGCTTGTCCACTGCGACGCACAGGCCGACGCCGGCAAGTGGTCCGCTCTCGCGCGCCTCCGCCCCCAGCGTCGGCAGCGGCCGGAATCGGCTGAGCAGCGCGTCGTATCGCCCGCCAACCGCCAGCACAGAGTCGCGCTTGCTCGACCCGGCCCGCCGCCATATCCCGAGCTGCATGCTCAGCTCGCCTGCGTAGTAGTGCGGGTTGTACAGCCGCCGCAGCGCAAAGACTGGCTCCAGCCGCGCAACTGCTATGGTTCGCGAACTCGCTACAAGACTAGCAAATTGCGCCAGCCGCTGCACCGCCCGCTGCACCCGCGCCCGCGCCTGAGACGACCGCATCGCCCGAGAGCCCGATGCCCACTGCCCGAGCACCGCGACCGCATCGTCCAGCGGACACTCAAGTGCAAGCCGCCGGTTGAGCCGCTTCACCGCCGAGTTGCTCAGCTGCAGCTCCATGAGCTCGATCAGCCGATGTGCCGGTGCTGCCTCGCCAGAGAGCGAGGCAAGGACCAGCTGCGCCCGTGAGAGCAAGCTCAGCGGAACGCCGGCCTCGATGAGTACCGCCTCCACCACGCCGCCGTGGTTGATCGAGAGCGTGTAGTCGTCAAGGTACGGCGAAAAGGCGAGGACAAGCTCGGCGCAGGTGTGCGCAATCTCCACCTCGGACATGACAAGGTCAAAACCAGTCTCGCGCCGCCCGATGATGTCCAAGTCGGCCTCCACAAACGTCCGCGACCGCCGGTAGACCGAGCTGATGGCGTGCCGCCGGAGCGAGACGACACCGGTTCGTCCCGCAAACCGCGCCAGCGGCAGTAGCAGGTCAAACGGTAGGCTCACACCGAGCCCTGGCGGTCGAGTACAAACGTGGCCGCGTCTGGTGTGAGCTCCGACTTGGGCAGCAAAAGCGGCGGGGTAAACGAGGTGCTGGCGTGTCGGGCAAATACTGATTGCAACCGCACCTCGACATAGTTGCGCACGTCGAGGTACACATCGTTGGGAGCCTCAATCTCTGCCGCATCGTACATGATGTCAAAGTACTCGTCGTTGCTTTGCCCGAACAGCACCTCCAGCAGCCGCGCCTGGTACGTCGACTCGTCGCGGTTCGCCAGCGACGCCATCAGATTGTCAAAGTACGTGTCCTGCACGTTCATCGGTAGGTGGCCGCGGAGAAGCTCCTCGGCCGCCGGCCGGTCGTTTGGATTGCGCTGGACTAGCCACTGGACTAGCGCGCCGGCCTTGGGCGAGTTGGCAAAGAGCGACTCGGGAAGAGTGCCGTCGACCCGGAGTGCATTGAGTGTGAGGATGCGCTCGATGCCCGTGGCAAATGTGACACACATCTCAAAGAGGATGACGCCCAGCGCATACATGTCAACCTTCTCGGTGTAGACCTCACCCTCGGCCACCGGGCCGTGCTCCAGCTCGGGTGCTGTGTAGAACGGCGTGCCCACGCCCTGGGTCTGCGCCAGCTCGTCCTGCACTTCCGCCGACACTCCGTCACCCATTGCGGCATCCACAGCGTCGGCTGCTGTCGCCTGCACCACTACCGGAGCCATTTGCCGGGTAGCGAGGCCGAAATCACCGAGCTTGACATCGCCCTCGTTGTCGAGAAACACGTTCGACGGCTTGAGGTCGCGGTGGATGATGCCCTGCGAGTGCAGGTATGCGAGGCCCTCGGTGATCTGGCGGACAATGACCCACATGCGGTCAGTGGTGAGTGACTCGCTGGCAATGAGCGACCGCAGCGTCTGGTTTGGACAAAACTCCATCTGGATGTAGAGACAGAGTGAATAGGGCGAGAACGTGACGTGGCCACTACCATGTCCGCTCGCTTGCGACCGCGACCGCGACCGCGAGTTGGCTCGCGAGTTGGCCCGCGAAACCGTCTGCGAGCGCCGGCCGTCGCGGCGTCCGGTCCTGCCGCCGATTGAGAGCATGGCCTGAGCCTCAAAGAGGTCAGCGTCATTAGCATCATCATCATCGTCGTCGTCGTCGTTGTGATTGCTGTTGGCGAGAGTAGCAGCGGTGTTGTCATTGCCAACACATCCAGAAGCGCCACTGCATTGCGACGCAGTCGGCGCGATCGGCCTGTCCGCCTCCGCTGCGGCTCCACCGTTCTGGTCCTCGTACACGTACTCGTACGCCGACTCGTACTCGTACTCGGCGTCGTCGCCAGGCTGCACCTGGCGACGAGTTCGGGCAAGCAACTTCTGGGCGGCATCAGCGCGGCGGCGCTTGACGCGGGCGGCCGTCACCGCCGAGCTGCTGCGGGCAATCGGCGTCTCCGAGTCCTCCATCCACGCCTGGTAGTAGCGGACAATGTACTGGTGGTGGAGGCGCGAGAGCGTGATGACCTCGCGGACGATCTTCTTCTTGAGCGCTTCATCGTGTGGGTCAAGAAGCACTTTCTTAACGGCGTAGAGTCGGGCGTCGAGGTTGTTGCGGACTTTCCAGACCTGGCCAAAGCCACCCGAACCAAGGAGGACGAGCTCCTGAAAGTCAGAGCGGTAGCGCGAGCCAGCAGCAGTACCCGATGTAAGCGGGTTGTCATTGAGGAGCGACGAGGCTGATGACGGGGTTGGCGGTATGCTCTCCACGCCCGGCGAGGGAGTGGTCGGCGGCTGGACTATGTCACGAGGCGGGATGATGACTGAGGGGCGCGACGGCGAGCCGGCCGGCGACGGCGGCACGCTCGAGCTAGGACGACCATCGCCCCAGCTAGGGCGCATGGAAGCGGTAGCAACCGGTGACTCGGAGCCGGGCGAAGGCTCGGGCGCAGCGACAAGCCGATGCGCAGCAGACTCGTCAATGCCAACCCTTCCTGCCGCCGCCACAAACGCGTCGTCGAGGAGCGCAGCAGCCGAGGGGCGTGTGGGTGGATCGCGAACAAAGCACCTGCTGAGAAAGGCATGACCTTGTGTCGAGAGCGAGGCCGGCAGCTCGGGTGCGTCCTGCATGACCTTGAAAAAAGTGGCGGGAGCGTTGGAGCATGTGTTGTACGGCCGCTGGCCGGTGGCCATCTCGATGACGGTGCAGCCGACCGACCAAATGTCGACTTTTGCGTCATACGCAATCTGCTGGACCATTTCCGGTGCCATCCACGCCGGTGTGCCGCGGACGGATGGCATGTCGCCTTGGTTGTGGGCGAGAACAAGCTCCTCGATGCGGGTAGAGCAGCCAAAGTCGGAGAGCTTGATGACGCCCCCGTCGTCGAGGAGCACGTTGGCGCCCTTGATGTCGCGATGGACAAAGCCGCGCGAGTGCAGAAAGTTGAGGCCGACAAGAAGCTGCTGCGTGTAGAGGCGGATAATCGACTCCTGGAAGGGTCCGAACGACTCGAGGAGCTTGGCGATAGAGCCACCTGAAACGTACTCCATGAGGATGATGAGAGCGTCGGGCTCAGTGTCGACACCGAGGTAGCGGACAATGTTGGGGTGGTGGAGCTCCTGCATAATCTCGATCTCGCGGACAATGGCGATCATTTCGTTCATCTTGCGGTTGGTCGAGCCGCGAAGCGCGATGCGCTTCAGCGCCATCAGCGTCCCGGTCACAGTATTGAGCGCCTTATAGACCTGGGCGAAGGTACCAACTCCAAGAAGGGCGCCGATCTGAAAGCTCTTGCCAGCCGGCGGTGTGCCGGCGGGCGTGGGCCTGCTGACAGGCGTCTGGGCAGCGCGCGGGGTGGGCGGCGCCGACGTCGACGCAGATGCTGGCGGCGTCGTCTCGCCGCCACGCCTACGCTCGACTAGCTCGGAGCGGATGCGCTCGTCCAGCTCGGCGCGCTCTGCATTCTCGCGGCGGCGAGTCTCAGCCTCGCGGTTCTTGCGGGCCAAGGCTGCAGCCTCCTTGAGCTCGGCCTCGTGGCGACGACGCTCCTCCTGGAGCGAGAGCGGCTTGACGTTGTGCTCGGTAACGATCTCGCGAGCAATCTCGACAATGTCGTAAATCATCTCAGAGCCGAGCATTTCGGGAGCACGGGCATCAATGGCTTCCTGCAGAGCGACAAGGACTTCATCAGTGAGGCCGATCTCGGGCTCGATCTTGAGATACGGGAGTTCAAAGGGATATGAGGAAGAAAAGCGGACGCGTAGCACAGCAACAGCATAGTAACCATCACGCGACATGTCTGACTCGCCATCCTCTACCTCTCCACCTCCATCGCTTCCATCCCCATCACCACCGTGGTCATCCGTTGCGTGAGGAATGAGTCGGAGGAGAAAGTGATTCGGCTCATGGACATAGCTAAACTCAGCAGGAAAGATGCTCTGCAACGCAGAAGCCTCGAGCTTTTGTCGTTCTGCTATAGACAATGAGCTCTCCTCCATAGCCCTATGTTAGGTGCCCTATATGAAGCGGCGAGTGTGAGCGAGGTGGCTGGTCTCGTGGCTTGCTTTGCGAGTGATTGGGTGGTTGTCCCGTGAGGCGCGTGTGTGTCAGGCTGCTGGCATGGCCTCGTGCCACTCGATCGTGGCAATGGGTGGCAATGGTCAGGTATGGATGTGGTGACAGCGATTGTCGATGTTCTTGCCTCCACCCGTACCCATCTGATGCGCGAGGTACAATCAGATTGGGTCCAACCATGCTTACCTCTGTGTCTGTTTGCGGTGGTGAGGAGTGGGCAGAGCGAGCCTACCTTCATCCGGACTCGCTCGACTCGATGCGCAAGCCTCTGCCGGATCGGGTGCTCTCTGCCAATGTGTCGACTATGTCTGCGTTCTCACCTGGTGCAGATCGGATCAGATCGGCTGGGATCGGCTCGGGTCGGGCGACGGGTCAGCTCGCCGCGTTGGCGCCGGCGCAGCAAGGGAAGTGGGAGCGGGAGCAGGGGCGGGAGCGAGGCAAGGAGCAGAGCGCTCACTCGTCTCTTTGAGAAAGAGCGAGATTGGTGGCGAGGAGATGAATGCAACTGGGTATGCGGTGTACTCGTGGGGTACCGGATGGTATGGTCAGCTCTGTACGGGTGTGCTGGAGGAGACGTCCACGCCAACTGCCTGTGGCTTCAAACTCGGCCCACCGAAAGTAGCCAACGATGCTGTGCCGTCGGTGGTAGCCACGCCATCGGCTACGGTGGTACTCGGCTGGGATAACAATGTCTCCACTGCGAGCTATGCTGGTCAACTGCCGCGTCATCCGCTCGCTTCAGAGCCGGCTCGCCTCTCTGTACCGCTGGCTAGCGAGCATCCCCACGCTCACCTCGCTCTCATCGCTGCCTCACCTTCTGCTGCTGCTTCGGAGCTGCTGATGGTGATGGTGGACGAGTCTGCTGACGAGGGCGAGTCTTCGGCAAAGGTGCGTCATGTGGTATGTGGCATCGAGGCTGAGCCCAGCATGCTGGACGAGAGCAGTTCGCGCGAGTCGCTGGTAGCCGGTGGCGTTCTGGCACGAGTCAATGCGCGGCTGACCAAGGCTGGCGCCACCGTGACAGCACTGGCACTGAGCCGGGGGCATGCGCTTGTGGCGACGTTGGCTGGGGTGGTGTTGGGATGGGGCGATGGATGGCATGGTCAGCTGGGCGCTGGCGTACTCGAGGCCCGGACGACACCACGGGCCGTGGCCGGACTGCCGCAGCCGGTAGACATCGAGGAGCTTGCGGTCTCCGACAGCCACTCTCTCGCTCGCAACGCCGACGGAGCGGTTTATGCTTGGGGTGAGGCGCGTGACGGGCAGCTCGGGTTTAGCGGAAAGCTGGTGGCATCGGCGACCCGCGTCGAGGCTCTCGCACAGATCCGGGCAACGAGCATCGTCGCCGGCAACGGGTTCTCTGCAGTGCTTGCGGCCGACGGCGCTGTCTTTGTCCTTGGCGCGGCCATGGCCAAGCGGGCCGGATCAACCCTGCTCGACGCACCGTACAGGGTTGTGCTCGGCAGCGAAACGCCCGAGTTTGTGGCCATGGCGGCATCGGACAGAGCGCTCGTGCTGGGGACTAGTAACGCCGAGATTGTCATTCTCTCGGCACATGCTGGAATGACACGGCTGCATCTGGCAGCGTTGGGGACGCTGGTGGCTGTCACTGCGTCGTGCAACCACTTTGCCGCGGTCGTGGCTCATCCAGTAGTGGCTGAAACGCTGCGACGGCGCGCGGCTGGAGAGAATGGCGCACCGGTCCTGCCGCCGCCGCGGCCACTACCAAAGCGACGACTGGTGTACATGCGCGGGCTTGATGCGTCGATGGTGTCGCCGATCCAGATTCGTGCCTCGCATCTCTCGTCGATGACAAGCCAGTCGAGCTCTGCAGCGTGCGACGATGTGTGGGAGGTCGGCGTCTTTTCGAGCTCTTCCGACGACGACTCTACCGACGACGGCATCGACTCGTGCCAAGCTAGCCCACAGTATCCCGAAGAGGTGCTGATGCTGTCGTCGCCAGCTGCAGCGGCCAGCGCGGTCTCGAACTCGTCGGTGCTGTCCAACTCGGTGACACTATCGGCGACGTTCTCGCATCCGGACAACTCGGTGATGGCAACACAAGCCGAGGTGCGGTCGGCGACGCCCGTCGACGTGCACCTCGTGGCGTGGTTTGTGCGGCAGATGAAGGCGGCGGAGGGTGCGGCGGCGGTGGCTGGTCTCACGCCGCGTCGAAAGTCGCGCGCCAGACCCGGAAGTCAGCGGCTGGCGCTGGCGGCGCTGGCTGACGGAGCCGTGCTCGCTGGAGTGTACTGCAGCACGTTTCCCGCGTATGCACGTGGGCTGAGACTCGCGCTGGATACGCCCAAGGTGCCTCGGCGCGGGCAGCGGGCAGTGGCTTCGCTGCACAACCTGTCACTCCTGCTGGGCTCGGTCAACGCGCGGCTGGAGGCCCGGGGCGTGACCGTCAAGCGGCCACTGGCCACAGTTACGCCTGCAGCGCTTGCCGAGCCCGGTCAAGAGGTGATCCGGCACGTAGCAGGCCTTGTGCTGGTGGCGATAACCGCGTGCGCGAGCCCACCCGCGCCACTCGAGGACGTGGTGAGCGAGGTCGAGCGCGCTGCGCTCCGCAAGGTGGTGCGACACTACGGCGGACGAAGTGTGGCCGAGGTGGCGGTACCCAAGATGGCTGCAGTGGAGAACGAGCTCGAGTCGATCGGCGAGGAGACAAAAGTGGCGCGGCAGCGAGGCCTACGGCTCCAAGTGACGTTGCTGAACGTCAAGCGGGCACTTGCCGAAATGCAGCTGTCGCCAGAGAATGCACCGGCAGAGTATGCAGTGATCGAGTACGACGGCGTTGCGTTTTCGACGGTGGCGCGCCCAATCGAACCGGTGGTGAGCTACAACGAGGCGTTTGAGCTCGAGATTCGGCGAGATGTACTGGCTGCTCTCTGGGCCGGAGCGAGCGGCGTGGCAGGCAGCGCGTTGCGGGTCTCGCTTGTTCGCAGAAGCGAGGGCGGCGGCGAGGTTTCGGCGAGCGGGCGGATTGGGCTGGTGCATGTTGTCGCGGCGGGCGGGCGAGTGTGCACCCGGTGGCACACACTCGGTGCAAGCGGGGTGCAAATTCAACTGCGGGCGTATGTAGCGAGTGGCGAGGGCGTGGAAGTGCCAGTGGACAAGATTGCCCCGAGCTTTGTGGTCTCACCGCGACTGGCCCGTGTCGACTTGGACGAGCTCACCCGCGATGTGGCAGCGTGGTCCGGCCGCGGCGTGTGGCCGGAGGTGTTTGCCACGAGTCCGGCCGTGCCGGGCAGCACCATGTTTCCGTGCGGCGACGGTGACGGTGATGTGTTCAAGGTGGGCCTTGTGGCTGCGGCGCGGGCGCGGGATGATCTACTGGCGGCGGTGCTGGGGGATGAGCACGCAGTGTTGTCGCTGGCAGACGGGTACCGCTTTCACGTAATCGACGATGCCGGTATGGTGTGGTTGACGGCGCTTGATGGCTCGGTCTGCGTCTCGCTCCGGTGGTATGGCGACGGGAACGTGAAACGGGCTGTGGCGGACGGGCGGCATGTCATGCGCGAAGCGGTGGCGAATGGCGGACAAGCGGTGCATGTGGCGCTGGTGGTAGGCGACGAGATCCGGACCCAGAGCCTGCACTTTCCCGGCGACGCCGTCCTCACCATCCGGATTGTGGGCATTCCGAACACGCCGCGAGCGAGGCCGTCGGCAAATAGCACCGATCTCGACGAGTGGCGGGTCTTTCTCGGTGCGCTCGGACGTGGTCGAATGGCGCGGATCGCCGACTGGAGCGGGTTCAGCGACTCGTCCAAAGTCGAGTTGGCCAAGGCACTCGACCTAGTAGTCGAGGCATCGGGCGCTTGTCCGCACCGTGCCCGAGCTGTTGGGCACGTGGCGTACAGCACACCGAGTCGTTGATGAAGAGCACAGGACAGATGTAGCCAATTGGAGGAAGGAAGATGCGATCATAGGGAGTTTGATCGATGGGCGAAGAAGCATGGCTGGATTGGGTTGAGGTTGGCGGAGTCGAGTGCGAGCGGGAAGCTTCGTCGGCGATGGTGCGCAGAGCGCTGACACGCCACTCGGGACCGAGCGGGACGCGATGGAGAACTACACCCGCATTGCCAAGCTCGGGGAGGGAACGTATGGCGTGGTGTACAAGGCGCAGAACAGACAAACCGGGCTTATTGTTGCCCTCAAGCGGAGTACGTGAACGGGTGAGAACGGGAGAATGCCGAGGAGAAAGCCCGAGCTGGTCGCCTTGGGCAGCGTCTGCCTGCGGGTGAGTCGCCGCGCAGCATCTCGTGGTGGTTGCCCCGGCGGCGATCGTTTGACAGAAAGCGCAAGTATATTGCTATTTTTGAGCGCAATATTTTCTGATGGCGAATGGAGCACCCCCCACCCCCCATCACCACGAGCAATGCAGTGACGGGGCGCAAGTACTGACACGAGTGGACGTGGGGTATGCATGGACGTGGGGTGTGGGGTGTGCGGGGTGTGGACGGGTGGTGTGGTAGTCCGGCTGGATTCGGAGGAGCAGGGTGTGCCGTGCACGGCGATCCGCGAGATTGCGCTGCTGAAGGAGCTGAAGCATCCGAACGTGGTAGAGCTCCTCGACGTGTTGCACTCGGACAAGAAGCTGACGCTTGTGTTCGAGTACCTGGATCAGGACCTCAAAAAGTACATGGACGGGATCGGTGGAGGCATCGAGCCGCACATTGTCAAGACGTATATGTACCAGCTGCTGAAGGGCCTGGCGTTCTGCCACGAGCATCGTGTCCTTCACCGCGATCTCAAGCCGCAGAACCTGCTGACGTCGTCGCGGCACGAGCTGAAGCTTGCTGACTTTGGGCTAGCGCGGGCATTTGGCCTTCCTGTGCGGTCGTACTCGACCGAGGTAGTGACGCTGTGGTACCGCGCGCCGGACGTGCTGCTCGGTTCGTCAACGTACTCGACGTCGATCGACCTGTGGTCTGCCGGATGCATCTTTGCGGAGATGGTCAACGGCTCGCCGCTGTTCCCGGGCACGTCTGTGGAGAACCAGTTGGAGCGAATTTTCAACGTCGTCCCGCTGCCGCCGGAGGACAGCCTCGGTGAGGGTGTGGAGCTGCCTGTGGGGGTAGGCGATGCGTGCGAGCCAGCGTCTGAGGCACCTGTGCTGGCGACGACGCTGGGCGAGGTGGTGCCTGGGCTTTCTGCCGAGGGCGTCGACCTGCTGGGCTTGCTGCTTGTGGCAGATCCTGCGGGGCGGATCACGGCGACGGACGCGCTAACGCATCCGTACTTTGACAACGTGCTCGATCCGTCGGCATCGGACTCGTGCCTCGCGGGCGCGTCTGCCACCGACTGAGGGGGAAGGGTAGAGAGCTGTTACACTTTTCATATATCAAGGACCATGAGCAGGTGGCGGTTCGAGAGCGCAGCGTCAAACAGCTTGTTCCGCTTGGCCTCAAAGGCGCTCCAGCGCTCGCGCTCCTCGTCATTGAGCGAGTCTGGCGAGCCAAAGGCGTGGACCATGTCGATGAGCTTGGCGTGCGCGGCCGTGTCGGCCTTGGCGCGGACGAGCATGTTGGACATGGTCTTTCGGGCGAGGGCGGCGGTGGTGAGATGGGCCCGGCGCGGGTCGTAGGAAAAGAGATAAAACGACTTGTTGGAGGAGAACTCCGAGTTGCGCGGGACCTGACGGCAGACGACAAAGCCATCCTTGATGAGCATGTTGAGGTAGAGGCGGACTTCCTTGGGCTTTGCCATGGCGAGGCGGGTGAGTGCCGTCTCTTCGGCGTGCTGTTGCTCGCGGAGGACCGAGACGATGCGGAGGCCGAGCGGGCCGTAGCGCGAGCGAATGATAGAGAGGGTGGCGGTCTCGTGCAGGTGCTTGCGGACGGCGTCAAAGCTGAGAATGTACTGGCCGGTGGCGTTGGAGCGGCGGAGAAAGCGGATGTCGAGGAGCTGGAGGCGAACGAGGGTCTTTTCGACCAGCGCAGCGTCGACGGTTTTCTCAACTGGCACGGCCTCACGGCGGGTCTCGACCTCGCCGTCGTCGCCAAGGACCTCGACGATGCGAACTTCGACGTCCGAGTAGGATGTGCCGAGCGCAACGTCGTCGATGCGCGACTTGGGAATGGGCGGCGCAAACTTGAGCGTCTTGGTCTCGGTCACAATGGTGGTGATGTCGGGCTGGGCCGCCTGCCACACAAACGAGGCCACAGGCCCGCCGACAGCGACAAAGTGGGCCTCGAGGAGCGAAAACTCGAGGAGCTTGAGGAGCTTGTCAAAGTTGGGCTCGACAAGCTTGCCCTCGAGCTGGATGAACGGGCCATACGAGTAGGGCACGCGGGTGGGAAGGGCCCGGTCGGGCCGCCTGCGGCCTCGGTCACGCGGTTGCGTTTGACAGGAGCCTGGGCCGGCGCGGCGGATGCGTCGTCATCGTCATCGTCCGAGTCTGACGGCGTGGGCGACCGCTTGCGCTTACCGCCGATGACAGCGTTGAACATGGCTGAGAGGCCGGCCGAGGCGCCAGTGAGGTTGATAGTGTCTTCGTCGGCACCCTTGCGTGGTTTGGCGTTGGACCGGCGCGAGCCGGCGGCGGCAGCCTGCTGCGACTTGGTCGGTTTGCGCGGGAGCATGTCCGGAGTGAAGAGCATCGGGCGGCCGGTGTGGACAAGGAGGTTGTGACCAAGGAGCTTGGCAAAGCCAGTCTCGATCTTGGCCATCAGCTCCGGGTCGGCAAACTTGGGCAGGTGCGGCGCGAGGGTGGCGAGGCTGGAGATGAACTCGGACTCGTGGACAAGGCCGAGATGGAACCAGGCATCAAGGGCCAGTGCCGCGGCCTCGCCATAGGCACGGCGGACCAGATCGACGAACCGCGGCTGGAGGAGGAGGAGCTCGGGCATGGCTGTGATGGCGCGAAAAGTGATGGGCTTCTTTTTGCGAGATGACGACTTGTCCTGCTTTGGAGCGCCGGGCTCGAGCGAGGCAGCCTTGTCCGGATACCGCACGCCGACAAGCCGAAAGGGAATGAGGTCGGCCAGAGCAGCCGAGACCTCTGGCGACGACAAGTTTGTAGTCGCCACCAGTTGAGCATGGCTCTGATCTTGCCGCTTCACCAACGTGTCATATACGCACTGTGTTGAGAGAGATGACGGTGGTGTGAGTGAGCGGTGTGTGTGCGCGGGGGGAGGGGCTGGCGGGAGTGGCTTCGATGGCCGACACGGCTGGCATGGCCCGACACGACTGGTGTGGCGGTGTGGACGGGAGAGGGGAAATGATGGTACGTACTACAGCTGTGTCAGAGAACAAATGCTCTACAATGTTGGTGGCAAGAGCATATTGGAAGTTCATGCTCTGAACACCTCCTCACAGCGAGTGCAGTGTGGCGTGGTCTGGGGGCCTCGGCTCCCTCGGTCGTGATCTTGCGGTGTGCCAGTCCCGATGGCCAATGTGGGGGGAGGGGGGGGGGGGGGGGGGGGGTTGGATCATGGCCTTGATCAAGGAGGACAGCTTGGCTATTTCTGGTTTGTTAAGGCCTGCCCGCGGTCATACGGATCGGACCAGGAGTGAGGCAGGTGAAAGGCAGCGGGAGTAAGGTAGGCGGAGCAGATGCAAGTGCAATGTCAGTCGGCTCTGATCGCAGCAAAGGCCCACCAGCTCAACATCGCCATCGCTATCACCATCACTGTCATCATCGCCAACGCTATCGCTATCGCCATTGCCATTGCCATCGCCATCGCCATCACTATCGCCATCGCCATCGCCATTGCCATCGCGCCCATCTCGAATCCTGCCACGCTCCCCTCCCCTCCTCCCCCCGCAACTCCGCCCACACGCATGACCTCATCCCCAGCCCACCACTCTACGCCACCATCCCCCACCCTCGCCCCTCCACCACAGACAGATGAAGGACGAGCGTGTGTACAGCCAAGACGAGCTGCGCAAGGGCGGCAAGTTGCTGGCCATCTCCGGCAGAGTGTACGATGTGAGCGAGTTCATTGCCCGCCATCCGGGCGGCAAGGTCCTCACCTACTACCTCGGTCAAGACGCCACTGATGCCTTTGATGCATTTCATCCGGGCAGGAAGGCTACCGCTATGCTGCCTGCGCTTGAGATTGGAACGATGGCGCCTCGTCGAATCGAGTCTGTAGAGGTTGAGGGCGACGATGATGTGACCTCCTCCTTCCGCGCTCTTCGTCGAGAGCTTGCTGCTGAAGGCATGTTTGACGCCGAGCCGGGCTTCTTTCTTCTCCAGCTGGCGATTATTGTGGCGATGGAGATGGGCGGTGTGTGGCTCTCGACGATGGCGGCAATGAGCGGGTCGTGGGTGCTGTTCTGGGTGGCAGCGGCGGTGCTTGCTACGGCGCAGATCCAGTCGGGCTGGCTGCAACACGACTTTGGCCATTTGGCGGTGTTCAAGGCGCGATGGATGAACATTGCGGCTCACAAGGTGCTGATGGCTGGCTTCAAAGGCGCGTCGTCGCCGTGGTGGCGGTCACGGCACAACCGACATCACGCCAAGCCAAACCATCTGCACGCCGACCCGGACGTCCACAACGAGCCACTCTTCCTCTTCGACGAGGTCATGTCCGAGGAGGAGATGGGCTGGGCCGGCACCTTTGCACAGGGCTGGTACTGGTGGCTTCTTGGCCCACCACTGGTCACCACTGTCGTCTTTCTCATCACTAACATCGTCGACTGCGTCAAGCGTGGGCTGTGGCTCGATCTTGTGCTCGGTCTCTCATACCTGCCGCGGTTTTGGGGCGTGCACATGGGGTGGAGTGGGCACACGTTCTGGGGCGCGGCGGGCCTCTACTTTGCGGTCCGTGTGCTGGAGTCGATGTGGTTCACCTGGGTCACGGCCATGAACCACTTTCCCATGGGCATCGTCTCGATGCGGTCGCAGGCTTCGCCCAAGTCGTGGGTCGCCGCCCAGTTTGACGCCACCCAGAACCTCAGCCCAGGTGCGGTCGCCGACTGGTTCACCGGCCACCTCAACTATCAGATCGAGCATCATCTGTTCCCGGCCATGCCGCGCCACAACTACCCGCGCATTGCGCCGCGGATCACCGCCTTTGCCGCGAGGCACGGCCTCGCCTACAACGTGGCGAGCCTGCCGAGCGCCGCCGCCCAGGTCATTGCCACCCTTCATCGCGTCGGTCGCGGCAAGCGTCAGTAGCGCGACTCAGGCTAGGCTCGAACCGCGTGCCGCGGCTACCAGCTCCGGCTCCGGCTCCGGCTTGACCTTGCACTCGGAGCGGATCCGCGCCACGTCGGCAAGAGCCGACCAGTCCGAGGTGACCACAAAGCCAGCGGCAATAGTGGTGACGACCGAGTAGCCGATGACCATAGAGAGCCAGATGCCGCGGAGCCCGCGGTGGTCTCTGAAGACAAAGACGTAGGCGAGCGGGATACAGACGAGCCAAGCGCCGACGAAAAAGGCAAGGGCGACCGGAAGCGGCCGCGCCTGGCCGTCGAGGATAGCCATGCAGGTGTAGAAGACACCGATGAGGATGTAGGAGATGGCAAGGAGCCGGGCGATCGACTCGGCCTCACTCCAGATAGCCGGATCGCTTGAGACAATCTTACCCAGCTGAGCGCGGAGGAGGTACAGCGCGAGGCTCACAGCGCCGCCAACAACCATGGAGAGGCCGAACGTGACGACGCCTGCCCGCCGCGCCGCTTGAGGCAGACCACACCCCAGCAGCCGGCCCACCCGGATGGAGCACGCCGTGAAGAGGCCGAGCATGGCCGAGTCGAGGAAGAAGAACAGGACAAACATGGCGTTGTTGGTCGCGATCTCCACCGCGCCGAGATCAAGCGCCATCACGGCCAGCACCTGGAACTGAAGCTCCTCGATGAGGCCCGAGAGCGAGAGTGGGAGCGCCTGCTCGAGCGTGTAGGTTACCAGCCGCGCCCGGCTCATCCAAGCCCAGCTAAAGCCCGGCGTAGCAGATTTGAGATATGCGCGTCGCGTTGCCCACATGTATACTGCGTAGCCGACAAAGACTACCCAGCGCGAAGCGGCGGTAGCGAGTGGCGAGCCGACAAAGCCCATGCCGGCCCAGGAGCCGGCGCCGTGGACGAGGACTACGTTGGCGGCGAGGTTGAAGACGAGGCCTGCAGCGTTGATCACCATGGCCGGGAGCACGTCCTCGTGGGCGCGAAAAAATGATTGCAGCAGCTCATAGCCCATGGTCGGCACGGTCCACAGCAGCGAGTACCGCATGAACACGCCGGCCTCAGCGGCGATGGCCGGGTCTGCGCCGATGCCGAGAAGAACAGCCTCGCCCCACCACCACGCTGCTCCGACGCACACGCCATAGCCCGAGCACGCCAGCACTGCAATCAGCGCCCACTGGCCAGCCAGGGCCGGGTTGTCGGCGCCGAGCGCCTGAGCGGAGAGCACGTTGAGCGCAGGCGCAAAGCCGCGAAAGATCGGCGAGAGCACAACGTTCATCCAGATGAGCGCCGCCGACGCCGCCGCCAGCGCCGAGCCCGACAAGTGGCCCAGCACCGCCAGATCGGTCAACATCATGCCGACGCGGCAGAGTACAGTAAAGGCCACAGGTGCCGCCAGCATCAGTTGCAGCGACAGTTCGCGACGCGGCGTCGGCGCATGCCTAAGCTCCTCGGGCCGCGGCTGCTGGGCGGGGCAGGTGACAGACGCCGACGCTTGTAGCGAGCCCTCTGTGCTGAGAAGCGGCTCTGTCTCAGCTTGGCACCGAGACGTGGCAGCCATGCTGGGGTGCGTCACCCGTGGCGAGAGGTGTGGCCTTTACCCCGTAGCGGCGGTTGAGAGAGGCTGGCAGAACGCGACTCGTGGCCCCGTCCCGAGGTGGAGAGCGGCACGATGGTCGACGTCCCAACCTGCGCGATGGGCAGCAGCGGCAAAGGCACACCAGCGGGACTGTGTGGCGGCGATCCAGAGATGATCGCCGACGTCGCCGGCACCGCGTCCGTCGCGGGCGGCGGCGGCGGCAAAGTATGCGGCCTTGACCAGGAGCGAGCCTGTGGCGTCGACGCCAGCAAAGAGCGCGGCGTGGCCATGGGCATCAACAATAAAGCCGAGCTCGTCCCAACAGGCGGCAATCTCGCACGAGCCGTCCGGCCCGAGACAGCTGAGCGGAGCGCCGAGCGCAAACGGGACGTCGGCGGCAGCCCATGGCGATAAGGGCAGAGTGGCGGCAAGATGAGCAGGCGACGGAAGATGGTCATTGGCAGGAGCAGTGTCGGCGGCAAGCAGTGCAGCCATCCGCTGCTCGTTGAGCGAGTCGAGGACCAGGCACGAGACAGCGGCCCAGTTGGCGGCGAGGTGGAGGGCGGTGGCGGCGGCAAAAACAGCCCATGCCGCAGACGATGCGTGGTCGAGGACTGGGGCGAGGAGGAGGCCGAGGAGGAGGCCGAGGAGTGAGACAAAGGTCTCCTGTGAGCCGTCCTTGGCTATGACGTCGGCGAGATTGGCGTTGCGGGCCTGGTGGGCACGAAAGACAGCCCGGCTCGTTCCGCCGGCAACGCCGACGACCGCCCGCATCAGCGCCGCGCCGCATACCAGCCACACAAACCAGATCGGATCCAGGAGTGCCGAGAGGAGCTCGGCAAAGAGTGCGGCGTCGTTGAGCACATCCGCCACCAGTCGCCACCATTGCGGAAAGGCTTCCATCGATCGCGGTGCGAGCGCTGCGCACCCGACCGACGCCGCCATGCCGATGGCGTCGCGGACGAGGGTGACCGACACCGCGCCTGCAGCAGATGCCGTCGCAGATCCAACGCCGAGGCCGGCGAGAATCGCCCGCGATGATAGTGATCCGGCCACGTACGATGCGAGGCCCTGGAGCGTGTCGCAAGCCTGGTACGCCGCGTAATCGCTCGAGACGGACGCCGGATAGCCACGCGGAAGAAAGAGGGCAGCGAGCCCGCGGCGCACGCTCGACATGGATCCGCACATCATGCCACCAGCACCAGTCCTTGCAGCTGCGTGCACACGAGCCACCTTTCGCCGCATAATTCGCCGCTCCGAGACAAGTGGAGACGTCGCTTCGTGCGGCTCGGTTGAGACCCGGCACTGCGGCTCGCCCTAAGAGCGTGACCCGCATCATTCGCATGTGTTCCAAGCCAGCGCGACATTGCTTTCAAACTCGAACATGGTAGTGGAGGCGAGCGAGCATGCACCATGTACAACCCACCGCGGCGGCCAAGACGCCCAGCGAGCGAGAAGCGACGTCGCAGCGCACAAATTAGGTTGATTGCGCTAATAAGTACAATTCCTTGCCCAGCGCTCCACCACCTTCCGCTCGACCCGCCCTCTCAGCCATGTATGGAGTTCAGCACTTGCCCTGCTTCCACGACTCATACTAAGCACCACTAAGCAAACACGAGAGCTGGTAACATTGGAGGGCGCTGCATAGTAGCCGTTAACAAATTTGTGTGGAGGGTAAGAGCACGTGAATCCTCGTGCCGTTATTGGCAATGGGATCCCTCAGTGGGAGGTGCCGGGTAGGCGCGGGAAGTGCAACCACCGCACTCTCAACAAGGGGAGCGGCACAAAGCGGACAAGCGGGCAAGTTCAGAGGACGACATGAAGCCAATGGTACGAACGGTATACTCTGTGGCGCTGGTGTTGGCTCTTGTGGCGAGCCTGACCTCTGCAGCAACCATCAATTACGTAACGCCAGCCACCGATATGGCGCTGAGAATGTTCGTTTATGCCTCGCAAACCTCGCAGTTCACCTCTGTTTCCAAGGCCTTTGCTGACGGCTACACATCGTCGACGGGCGATCCAGTCGGCGTCCTGCAAGCCGAGTTCAACGAGTTCTCCGACAAGGCGGTGTACGAGTATTGGCTTAAGGCCTTTGGCTCGCCGGACATCATTCCGCTGTACAATGGGGCCGGCAAGCAGGAGTTCATCGACTCGGGCGCGTTCCTCGACCTCACGGACCTGTGGGAGAAGCACGGCTTTGCCGAGGACACGGTGCCGGCGGCGCTCGACTATGTGACGGGCAGGGACGGAAAGCGGTACGGCGTACCGACGATGGCGACGGGCAATTTGTGCAATTATCGCAAGTCGGTCTTTGCCGCCCACGACGTCGTGCCACCGACGACCTGGTCGGAGCTCCTTGCGGCCTGCGAGGTATTCAAGGCGGCGGGCATGAAGTGCTTGGGCACGGATCTGTTTTCGATTCCCACGTCACAATACTTTGACTCGCTTGCGATCCGGATGCACGGCGACGCGTTCTACGAGCAGTTCTTTATGGCCAACATCACGTTGGAGGACCCGCGGATCCGGGCTGTCTTTGACGAGCTCGTTCCACTCTTTGACGCCGGCTTTCTCTCGCGCAAGGATTCTGCGACGTATGGACTCGAGATGACGTGGGCGCTTGACTTTGCGCTCGATCCCAATGCTACGGCGATTTACTGTGGCTTTGACTCGCTCGCCGGTGTGGTACTGAGCGCCGGAGTGAGCGACGCCGATGTAGGCGCGTTCAGGTTCCCTGCGTATGACGGGACGCGCGGGACGGCGTCGCCGACCGAGGCCAACAACGGAGTTCTCTCGGTCTTTGTGGCTTTTGCCTCGCCTATCTCGTCGGCGTTCCATGATCGCTCGCGCGCCATCCTCGACTATATCGGCAATGCGACGACGCAGAAGGAGGTTCTCACGGGTCGGTCTGGAGTTTACCCTCTTCGGCCGTCGCTCACGGAAGTCATGACGTCGAGCCGGACCCGGCTGGCGTACGACACTATGCTGGAAGCGGAGCACGCGTTTGAGCGGTCGGGCATGGCGGCGTTTGGCTACCCGGAGCTCCTTGCACGGTGGCAGAAGTTTATCTTCACGCTATATGGGCAAAAGACGTCTGCTGACGCGACGGCATTGATCGACGCCGAGCTGCCGCAGCTCGAGGCTGTGCGGCTGTCGGCGGTACTGAAACAGGCGTCGACGCCTGTGGCGAACCCGTCGTCGGGCTCGTTTAGCGAGCCGATCTCGGTCGAGCTGACGACGCTCACGCCGGGCGCGGTCATCCACTACACCATTGATGGAAGCCAGCCGAACGTGGCGTCACCTGTCTACACCGGATCGGTCAACATTGCCCTGTCGGGTGTGACCGAGCTGCGTGCCATTGCCGCCGCGCCAGAGCTCTCCAACTCGAACGTGATGGTGTCGTCGTACCAGATTACGTTGGCGGTGCTCAACGCTGAGTCGACCGACAACAAGCGGCTGCTCGCCATTCTTCTCCCCGTCTTTCTGGGCATTTGCTGCATCGCCTCGATCATTGGCTACGTTGTGTACCGGCGCAAGTCGGTGACGTACAAGCTGAGCTCGGACTCGGACCTTGTCATTCCTGAGAAAGAGCTGACGGTGGGCAAGGCGGTGGGCGCCGGCTCGTACGGTACTGTGTATGCCGGCAAGTGGCGCTCGACGGCGGTGGCGGTGAAGCGGACGCGGACCAAGGAGATGAGCCCGGCCCAGCTCCGCGAGTTTGTGGACGAAGCAAGCATGCTGCTTCGGCTGCGGCACTCGAACGTGGTCATCTTTATGGGCATCACCCTCGAGCCGCCGTCGCTGGTCACCGAGTTTATGGACCGCGGCTCGATGTATGAGGTCCTGCACTCGCCTGACCTTTTCCTCGACTCGTCGATTCTCTTGAAGTGGGCGCACAACATCACGCAAGGTCTGCAGTACCTCTCCCATGCTGGCGTGGTCCACGGCGACTTTAAGTCGCTCAACGTGCTGTTTGACAACAACTGGGTGCCCAAAAATTTGTGACTTTGGCATGTCGTCGGTCAAGGGCGATGCCTCGCTCTCTGCCGCGGACCGCAAGGCGCGGCGGAAGCGGGCGCGGGCGCGGCGAGCAGGCAAGGTCGGGCCGGCCGACTCTGCGCCGCTGGTGGGAACAAGCACGCCATCGACGGTCTCTGCCGTCTCGTCGGCCACGTCGGGCATGTTCTCGTCCGAGGTCGGGGCAACGGCGCACGGCGAGCAGATGAACGTGGGCACGATTTTCTGGGCTGCGCCCGAGGTTCTCCTTCGAGGCTCGATTGCGATGACGCCGGCGTCAGACGCGTTCTCACTCGGCATCACGCTGTGGGAACTTGCGACGCGCGGGACGCTGTACGCAGGCGAAAACGCTCTGGCGGTGGCGCTGGAGATTGTGGACGGACGGCGGCCGGATGTGGCCGGTACGCCGGCGTCGCTGGTGCCGCTGGTGCCTATCATGACGCGGCTGTGGGAGAACTCTGTGGAGCTGCGGCTGACGCTCGATGAGGCCGAGGCCGAGCTGGCGGGCACATACTCCAACTCTGCGGTGGTTTACCCGACGACGGCAGCTGAGCCGTCGGGCGAGATCACGGCAGTGCACTGCACGCTGCGGAATGCGCGGGTGCGGCTCCTGCGCGATCCAGTCGAGACCGGGCGGGCGCTGCGTACATTCCACACCCAGTTGCCGGAGCTGGCGAGTGACATTGGGGTGAGCGTCCTCGCATGGGGCTTGGGGTGGCTCACGCTTGGTGTTCATCGGTCAACGCAACTGACGGAGCTGCTTGGGCGGTGTCAGGCACTCAATCTCCCGCAGGATATGGCTGTCACGATGCTTGTGACATGCGGCGAGGTGCGCGTGGTGTCGTCGACTCGCGGTGGAAACCGCGAACTCGGTGGGCCGGTCATCGACTCGATGCGGAGCCTGTGGTCGGACCTGTTTGGCCTTGCGCACTCTGGCCTGGAAGAGGCTGAAGAGCGTGCGTACGCGGCGACGCTTCTCCCTTCAACGCCCAAGTCGCTGGCTTGGGAGCACACGATTGCTGGGGGGCTCTTTGTGGCCGAGCGCGAGATTGTGAACGAGCTGACACAGCTTGATGGAGTGACTGCTCGGCCGCTGCCGTGGCCGGTCTCGGACACGACTGTCTTCCACGTGACGGTCGGCGACGAGCTGACGGTGGTCGACACACTCGCACAGCGGGCGGCCAAGCCGAGTCCGTCGGCGGCAGCGCTGAAGGCCAGCACGTCGCGGCACGGCGAATGGCTGGTGCCGCGGAGCGAGATTGTGGGGCTGGTGGCGCAGGGTGGCGAGACGTGGATGGGCTCGTACGCCAACGCGCACCGGGCGCGTTGGCGCGATCAGGAAGTGGTGGTCAAGACGCTGCTGCGGCAGGACCTCGGGCCGGAGGACGTGATCCGGATGGCGGAGCTCTCGGCATCGGCGCTTATGAGCTCGAGCGAGACAGCGGTCGGCCCGCTGGCAGTGTGTCTGGACAAGGGCCAATACGCGATCATTGTGCCGTTTTATGAAGGCGGGACACTCGACGACGTGCTTCTCGGCACGCGACGCAACGTGGTGTTTGACGCGGAGGCGGTTGCCATCGTGGCACGGCTCCTGGCGAGCTCGCTTGCCAAGCTCCACGGTTCGCTCGGCATCGCACACGGCTCGCTGCGGCCGTCCAACGTGGCGCTTGTCTTTGAAGGCTCGCGCATCCGCGAGGCGCATGCCATTGACTTTGGCATGGACGGCATCAAGGCCAACATGGGAACGATGACCATGATTCCGTCGGTGGCCTACATGTCGCCCGAGGCGCTTCGCGGCGACACGACCAACATCCGCGGCGACGTCTTTGTCATGGGCACCATTCTCTTCGAGATGATTGCCCGCGAGTCGGCCTTCTCCGGCTCGAACGCACTTGAAGTCGGCTTCCGCATCTCCAACGGGCGGCGGCCCGAGATGACTCCTAGTCAGATCCCAAGCGCCGCCATCCGCGAACTCATCGATCGCTGTTGGCGTGCCGACCCGCACTCGCGCCCGTCCATGGCCGAGGTTGTCGAGATTCTTGCCAGACTCGATGTGACTGAGTTTGTCTCTTCCAAGCGAAACCAAGTCCGGAGTCTGGGCCGGGCCGGTGGTCGGAAGTGAACTAGACAGTACTGGGGTTGGGTGTGGGAGTGGGGGAAAATTGCGTGCATTGTTCGGTCACGTGAAGAAGAACCACCGTTTGGCCTCGTGGCGAGCGGGTGGGGAGAGGCGAGCGGGAGGGGCGGGAGGTGGACACACACACACACACACGCACACACATACACACACAACGCACGAGGACGGTGACGCACGAGCGTACACAAACAAGGACAAGCCTCGACCAACCAAAAAACGCCCTTTCCCCCTTACTCTTCCTCCCCCCCCTCCCCCCCCCCCCCCCCCCCCCCACTTTCCCCCCGCCTTCCCCTGAGTTCGGTAATGTCGTCCCCTGTTGTGGTGCACGCCACCAAGGCGACGGGCAAGGCTCGGTATGGTTCGTCGTCGTCGTCGGCTTCGGCTTCGGCTTCTGCCTCGGGCTCGGATTCGGACGACGGCGAGAGCGTGGCGGTGGGTGGCGGTGAGACCATGGCTGCAAGCGGTGGGGCTGGTGGGCAAGGACTGGGCATGGGTATCGTGTCGTCGGCTGCAGGACAGGGCTGCTCCTCGCCGTCGTCGCCATCGTCGCCGTCGGTGGCGTTGGGCGAGTCGCCCGCGGGAGTCCCCGGTGTGGATGGCGGGGCTGGCGGTGGGCGAAAGGGCAAGAAAGGGTCGTGGAAAAAGGGCCTCGGGCTTGGGCTGGCTGGACTCGCCACCCCGCTCAACACCAGCATGGGCAGCGAGAGCCAGTACGATTCGATCGAGTCGCCGCAGATCCAGGTGATCAATCTGGCAGCGTCGTTGTCGTCGCTGGACTCGTGTAGCAACTCGCCGGCTGTAGGCTCGCCAGGGAGCGGGCGGAGTGCGCCCAAGCGGCCGGCGCGGCGGAGCCTGGTCAAGAAGCGCGGCGGGAGCGGTGGGCTCGGCAAGAAGCGCGGGCGACTGGGCCTCACGCTGGCAGTGGAACCGGGGCCGTCGGACTCGGGCACGGACGGCGTGTTTGACATCAATACGTATGGCGGCGAGCTGCTGAACGCGTCGCGCGGTGAGCGCGACCCAATGCTTTCGCTGGTACACGATCTGCAGCTGAAGGACCTGGAGCTTGTTTGCGAGCTCGGCGAGGGCGCACAAGGTGCAGTGTCGAAGATGTGCCACAAAGAGACGGGCTTGCTCCTGGCGTGCAAGGTGATCCGGCTGGATACGGCGGCGACTCCAGACGCGGAGCGGAAGCGGGAGGAGCTCTTTACAGAGGTTCGGACGTATGCGCAGTCGAACTGCCCGTACGTGGTCAATTCGCTCGGGTGCTGGCGCGAGGACGATCTCATCACGATAGCGCTCGAGTACATGGACTGTGGCTCGCTCGAGTCTGTGCTCCAGTCGGCGGGCGCGCTGTCGGAGGACGTCATCCGGCACATTGCCTGGCAGGGCGCCAACGCGCTGCACTACCTGCACAACACGCGGCACCTCATCCACCGTGACCTCAAGCCGGCGAACATCCTGCTCTCGTCCGAGGGACTGGCCAAGATTTCTGACTTTGGCACCTCGCGCGAGCTTGCGCAGACGCTGGCCAAGGCGTCGACGTTTGTGGGTACGTTTACGTACATGTCGCCAGAGCGGATCAACTCGACCGAGGCCAAGGACGGGTACACGTCTGCGTGTGACGTGTGGGCGTTTGGGCTCATTCTTGTCGAGTGTGCGCTCGGCAAGTACCCGTACGAGTTTAACGAGGACGAGGTGTTCAAGCACATGACGTGTGTGTGCGAGCAGGACGCGCCGATTGACGAGTGGCTGCCGGCCGAGACGTGGTCAGCACCGTTTCGGGAGTTTGTGGCGGCGTGCCTCGCGCGCGACCCGAACGATCGGCCGTCGGCTGGCGAGCTGTGCGAGCACGAGTGGCTGGCAGGCACGACCGAGATGCCGTTTGACTTTGGCGCGTGGCTGCGGGAGACGGTGACGTTTGTGCAGGTGGCTGACGAGAGCAAGTAAAGCGAGCGCGCTACGCTACGAGTGCGCGGCGTAGGTGGCGATGCGGGCGACGTAGTGGTCGTAATACGCCTGGGTGTCGACAGTCATGAGGACGTGGACGTTCTTGCGAGCGCCTGGCCAGTGAATGCCGGAAAAGTCGGCGACCGAGGTACCGCGAGTGATCTCGCCCTTGGTCTCGACGCGGACGGCGACGAGCTTCGAGGTGAAGATGTCCGGGCGAACGAGGGCCATAACAGCGGTAGAGTCGTGGACGTAGGAGAGAGCATTCCACTCGGCAAGGGCGGCGATGTAGCCGGCTGAAGCAGCGTGGGCAAAGTCTGCGACGGGTGAGCCCGTGGCCTTGATAGCGGCCCGGAAGGAGTCCGAGAGTGGGACCTGGCGGGTGGCGTTGAGGCCAGCCATGATGACGGCCGGGAACGGGGCGTCGAAGACGATGGCGGCAGCCTCGGGATCGTTGATAAAGTTGGCCTCGCCCGACGGTGAGGCATTGCCAACGCCGTCGACCGTCCCACCCATGAGCGAGAAGACCGGGATGCGGGCTGCAAACTCGGGATCGGCCTGGATAGCCAGAGCCACGTTGGTGAGCGGGCCGAGGGCGATGAGCGAGATGTCGCCTCCGGCGGTGGCGTGCACAAGATACTCGGCAGCAGTCATCTCCGAGCTCGGCACAATGGCATCGGTCATGTCAAGCTCGGTGCCACCGAGTCCATTCTGTCCGTGGACGTGGATGCCGGAATGGCCGTGGTACTCTTCCGCCAGCGGGTGCTCCGCGCCGACGTAGATGGGGATGTCTCTCCGTCCGCAGAGAGCCATGACCTTGGCAGCATTTGCCGCCAGCAGATGCACATCCGAGTGATTGTCCATGACAATGGTCACACCAACGACTTCAAGCGAGGGCGAGGCAAGAGCGAGGGCGAGAGCCATCGAGTCATCAACGCCCGGGCTGCGGTGGGGAGGCCGTGCGTGTCGGCGTGAGTCACGTGGTATGCGCGTGGGATGAGATGAAGGGAAAGGACGATGGCCAAAGACATGACGTACTCGGTGTCAATGATGACCTTGAGGGGGTTGGCTGGGTCCGGGGTGGAGGGAAGGGTGGACATGGGGAGAGAGGTGGGAGAGAGGTGCTGTGCTGTTGGCGGTGTGGTCATAAGCCGAGGCAGAGAGAGTGTGCTGCAGGGCAAGAAAAGAGGGGAGATTTGATCGTGATTGATGAGAGCCGGGGAGGAGGGGGAGGAGGAGGGAGGGGGGAGGGAGGGGGGGGGGGGTGATGTGGCGTCGGCCTTGGCAAGAGCGATAGGAGCATCTCATGCGGCAGGCGATGAGAGTGAGAGTGATGGGTATGATGGGCGTGAGGACTGTGGCTGGAGATAGGTTTGGAGTACCATCACATCGACCGATCGCCTGTGATATTGTAGGTATTAGCTGTGTGCAGCTGGGCGGTGTGGCGGGGAGGGGGGGGAAGGGGGGGGGGGGGGGGGGGGGTTGCAGACAGGACCACTCCACTCGGCAGAGCGAGGCGAGGCGAGGCGAAGCGAGGCGAAGCGAAGCGAGGATGCGGTGGGAGCGGGTGGCTCTGGTACTGGTTGTCTTCTCATGCGGGGTGTATGGGCTGTGGAAGTTCTTCAGTATTGCGCTGGCATTGGGAGTGAGTCTGGGTGGCGCATGGGTGCTGAGGGCCATCTACAACATGCCCGGGCCTAGCGAGGAAGAGCTGGCTGGCAAGGACGAGGCCTTTGTCCGCGGACAGGATTTTATGGCCAGGAGCATTCTAGCGGGCATTGCTGTGGTCATTGTGGCCACATCATGGGCGGCGACCTCGATGGGCTTGAGGGCTTGGTTGGGAGGTGCTGTTCTCGTCATCGAAATCGTCGCCGTCTTTGTCGCCCAGCACATGCTCCGCAAGTCGGACGCGACCTCGTCATCCTCCCGCGAGATGTCCCACAAGATCGGCGTCGTCTTTGTCGGCGTGCTCCTCTTCTCGCCACCGCTTCTCTTTTGGTGGTCGCCAGAGGCGCTTGCTGCCCTGGCTTCGTGGGCCATCTTTACCATGGTTGCCTCATTTCCGGCCAGCTCAGCCCGTTTGCTTGCGGTCGGATCTGGTCTCGTCGCCATCGCCCTCTACTGGATCCTCGGCCTGGCACCTGCCGCCACCGCCGCGGCATGGGCCGTCGCCTGGCGCCTCGTATGCGTGTACTACGCCGCCGAGGACGAGCTCGAGGTGCTTCTGCTGCAGCTCCGGATCCCGTTCTGGCTGCTGGTGGGGACCACCGCCGGCGCGCCGCTCGCCTACTACCTCATTTCGGTCCAGGCCGTCCTGACTGTCCTCGCCGCCTGGGTCTACGCCGCTGCCTTTCTCCTTGGCGACTTTATCCCGGACAACCAGTCGTTCGTCGACTTTGACGAGCTCGCCCGCAAGGCTCCTGACGCGGACGCCGGCGCCAAGCCCAACGCCCCCGATGGGCCGGCCAAGCCGTCGTCGTCAAAGCCAAGCGGCCAGAAGAAGTTTGCCGGAAAGCGCGGTCGGTTTAAGAAGCGGAGCTGACTTGGTCAAGCACGTCGCGAGAGGAGTCGGCCTCGATGTCCGCCGCAACAGAGCGTTGCGGTTGAGGACAGAGGCGTCATGTGGCGACGAGCGCAGCCTGCTGGTGCGCAGGGCCTAGCGGGCGCTGGCCGTGCGGGTGCACGCTGCCGAGGCGGCGGCCCACAGGTCAGAGATCGAGTACGTACACTCGGCAGGCATGGCCTTGTAGCCCAGGGTAGATGCCTCAAAGACATAGAACCGCAGCGGCCACGCGCCGTACGTGGTCTGGAACTCGTTGTCGAGCGTGTCGAGAAAGACGGGCAGCCGGAGCTGGTACAGGTCGGCAAAGTGGGTGGCGGCCTCTGCACGGTCGTCCACCGTCTTGGCCTGTGCCACCGCCACTACCTCGCCAGTCGGGTGGTAGCGCGACGACGAGATCGGCCATTCGTCAAGAGCGTGCGCCTCCTCGACGTAGATAAAGGCCCACGCCGGCGCAGCCTCGCCGTGCTCAACACGCAGGCCGTCGTACATTTCATGCAGCATAGGAACCATGCCGCGGATGGGCGGTCACGAGTACGAGCCGGCAATGACCACCAGCGGCCGCTCGCCAGCCCCGGCCAGCAGAGCAGTGAGTGACGTGCGACACCCGATCTCGCCGTCGGCCAGTGGCAGGAGCGGCACGTCAACGATGGCCTCGCCAGCAACGACTCGGCCCTCACCCGCGCGGTTGTGCTTGACATACAGTGGAATGGCGGCCGTCTCTGGAAGTTCGGGATAGATCGCAGCAGCGCGGCGAAGAACAACCAGCACATCGTCATGCCGATCATGATCAGGCCCGTAACCAAACTCGGTCGCCACCTGCTTCTGCAGCTCCAGAGTCACCTCCATCCAATCCGTGTCGGACCGCCGCTCAGCCGCAGCATACAGCTCTTGCACTCTGGTGCTCAGCCGCAGCTCGTTCTCCCGCTCCAGCATCGCCACCACGGTCGGCCCGTCCATGAGCTCGCGGAGAGCCGCCACCCGGATGTGCTCATCTGCGCCGGCATTGTTGGAGGCAGCCACCATTCCGCTTCGTCCAGTTGATGTGGGCAAGGCGAGGCTGAGTCCGCGACGCGCTGCCTGCCGTCGGAGCTCAAGGAGCTCCGCCTTGAGCCTGTCTCTCGACGACATGAGTGAGACAGGTGGTGCGGGAGGGCTGAGGGGAAGAGGGACGGAATAGAAGGTTGTGGGGGAGAGAGGGGGGGTGAAAAAAAAATATACACCTCCAATTTGAACACAGGCTGGAGGCATCCAACCCATCAGCGTAGACAACACCATAGAAGGTAGTCAACAGCTTATCTGTGGTGGCACAAGCCACCATGTACCTGTCCGCACACAGTGGGGCTACAGCCGAGGGTCTGAAATGGGGTAAAAAAAATACGGACTGCGCCAGGAATCGGACCTGGGACCACACCGATCCAAACGGTGTATCATACCACTAGACCACGCAATCAATGCAATAGCATTTCCTTTAGGCAAACGGCACGAGTTCAGTATTTCATTAGTGCACTGGAAAGCGGGAGGAGGCTGGCGGGATCAGGCACGATCGAAGAGAGGCTCACTGCAGCAGGTGTGCGCTCAGATGCGCGTCGATCCAGGTAGCGACGTGGGCACGGAGGCGGGCGGCAAGGTCTGGATCGGCCTCGGCGCCGGCGCGGTCGGCGCCGATGGCGGCAAAGATGTCGAGAAAGGCGTCGAGGGCCATGACGCGGGCAGGCGCAGCAAGGTAGCGATCGAGGGCGTCGCCGGTCGGCGGAGCCGACTTGGCGTAAAAGGCAACTATGTTGGCGAGGCGGTCGCGGGGCACGACCATGGCGGCGGCGGAGGCGAGATGCTCCTCCATGACGAGGCGATGGACGGTAAGCTTGAGCTCCTCCGAGGCACGCGACTGGAACCAAAAGTTGACGGCGGCAGCAGGCGTAGTGGTGCGAACGTGATGCCACCAGAGCTTGGGAATGAAGAGCATGTCGCCTGCGGCGAGCTCGACATCGTCCCAGGCAGCTTCGGCAAAGCCCGGGTGGGTGTCCAGATCCGGGTCGAGCACGTCGATGGCGCCCTGGTGCCAGCGCCACCACGAGCGACGGCGTGGAATGCGCCCGAGGTTGGCGGCTGGGTCAAAGAGGCGGAAGATCTTGGTGCCAGCGACGACGGCGTGGAGGCCGTCCATGCCGGGCTCGCGGGTGGAGAAGTCGTAGTGGACCGGCGTGATCTGCCCTGCACTGCCGAGCCAGAGATTGCCGGCCTTGCCTTGGCTCGCCGCCGGCGGTGGCACTACGTACGTCTCCATAAGCGCCGGAAAGTACTTGACGATGGGCAGCGAGGCGAGATAGACCGAGCTGTCGTTGACCGCCCAGTGGCTTGTGACGTAGGTGGCAAAGGACATGGCCACAGGCTTGCCGAGCCACTCATCGCCAGCAAGGAGAGACTTGCCTCTCTCCGCAGCAGCAGATCGTACACGGACCGTCACCTCCGGGTCATCAACAAGGCTCAGCAGCGAGTCTGCCGTCCATCGTCTGCCGCCGTCTGCATCGGCCACGGCTGGCCAGCAGCTCACCCCGCCGCGGACGACATACGGCACGCCGTCAGCCACATGTTGCTCGTGATCGACAGGAGATATGGTTGTGTGGTATATCGATATGGGTCGAGGGGGTGGCGTGTCCATGAGTGGGGGAGTGGGGTGGGGAGGGGAAGGGAAGGGGTCACCGCACGCGTGCCTCGTTGTCGTCGTCGTCCTCGTCGTCGTCGTCCTCGTTTCCTTCGTCGTCGTCGTCATCGTCGTCGTCGTCATTGGCCTCTGCTACCAACACCCAGCACCTCTCCCCTTCCCCCAACCTGTGACTGCCATGCACGTCTTACTCTCACTCTTCCTCGCTGTCATCATCGTCGTCGTCGTTATCGTCGTCCCCTCCTCCTCCACCTCCTCCTCCTCCTCCTCGCTCTCGTCGCCTACCCACTGGTGCGGGAGTGAGTGCACGAGCTCGGGAGATTGCACCGCTGGCGACCGCTTTGACAATCCGTGTGCTCTATGTGGACGATCTGGTCGTTGCGAGCCAGTGTGTGGTGCTGGATGCGTGATTGATGCTGATTGCCGAGTCGGCGGAGGAGGCAACCCGTGCACAACGTGCAACAACGTGACCCGCCAGTGTGTCAATCCGGATCCGCTTTGCGGGAGCTTCTGCGGCGGCTTTGATGGCGCGTGCGTGGTCGACAACGAGCCTGGCGCGCCATGTGCTGCCGTTCCGGGTACCTCGATCACTTGTTGTGCCTGCCACTCGGACTGGGCCAAGGGCTGCGTGCCCGGATCGTCTCCGCCGCCGCCGCCACCGCCAGCACTCCCGGTCTGCGGCACCATTTGCTCGTCGTCGGGCGAGTGTGAGGCATCCGAGACGTGCCCGTCGTGCGTGGCGTACCACTGCGCGCACAACGCATCGTGTGGCCAGGTGTGCATCTCGTCGGGCGAGTGCGCGTCGAATCCGCCGTCGTGCCGGCACTGCGTGTACAACCAGTGCTCCGAGGGCCTCGCCTGCGGTGCGAGCTGTGCATCTTCGCAGCAATGCAAGGACTCGTGTCCGGTGTGCGGCCACATCGCGACGTGCGTCTCGTCTGAAGCCTGGCGCGCCACCGTCGATGCAGCCACAGCTTCCGGCACGCTTGCCGAGCTACACGCCGCGCGCGCTGCCGCTCTCGCAGCCGCCGCTGCCGGTACCCCCTAAGCTGAGGCACGTGTGGCTTTGCGCGTGGCTCGGATCATGGCGAGAGCGTGGTTGGGTGAACAAACGATTAATACTGGTGACAGACATTGGAAGAGGTATATACTCCTCTCTGATAATGTCGTGGCGGTCTCGCGGCGGCTCTCGTGGCGGACGCGGTGGACGCGGCGGTGGACGCTCGTATGGCGGTGGCCGTGGCGGCGGTGGCTACAACTCGGGCCCTCCGGAGGCTGTTGCTGGTACGTCTTTCTCTGATCTCCCCCTCCCCCTCCCCCTTCCCCCCCCCCCCTCCCATCTCCATCCCCGCCCCCTGGGTTGGCCCCGAGTCGCCGAGCGGGTGTGTGTGCGTCGGGCCGAGGCGAGGGATATTCTTGCGGTGGGCCTCGTCGGTCTTCCGCCTGATCCTACGTGGCGAATACAAGTACCATGCTCTCCATAATCTACATGGGTGTAGTCTATATCGTCATGCTCCCTTGTCTTTAGTGTGGGCTTTGTCGGTGGTGTATTGCGGTCGGTAGCGTTTGTCAAAGAGTGCGGGGGGCTCGGCCAGTCGCCCACTCCCTCTGGCGAGTGCCATCCCGGCGGCCCATCCACCTTGACGCGAGCAGGGGCGTGTGAGCAGGCGGTGTACTCACTACCAGGGCGGACGAACATGTACGAGTGCAGAGCTGGGTGAGTTTGTGCATCCGTGCGAGGGCGACCTTGTGTTCAAGTCGACCAACACCATGATCCCCTACTTTAACGCCATGGTGTACTCTGACAACAACGCGCTGGTGGGCAAGATCGACGACGTGCTCGGCGCCATTAACTCGGTCATGTTTACCGTCAAGACAGCGCAGGGCGTCCAGGCTGACTCGTTCAAGTCGGGCTTCAAGGTGTATGTCGACACCCAGAAGCTCCTCCCGCTCTCGCGCTTCCTGCCCAAGCCCGCAGGCCCCAAGAAGCCCAAGTCCAAGGCCAAGCGCGCCGGTGGCGGCCGTGGTCGCGGCGGCCGTGGCGGTCGCGGCCGTGGTGGCTCCCGCTTTGGTGGCGGGCGCGGCGGCTCGCGCTTTGGCGGTGGCCGCGGTCGCGGTGGCGGCCGTGGTCGTGGCCGTGGCGGCTCGCGCGGCGGCTGGAGCCAACGCCGCTACTGATCTGGGCGTTGTTGTCTCTCTCACACACGCACACGCTTCTCATCTCTGCCTCTGCACCGTGCTCTCTTCTTCCCCTACTTTGGTGACTCGCATCGTAAACCCCCCATCCCATGTATGTGCGTCTTTCTCGCTCTCGGCCGTGGCTAGCAAGACAACAAGCAAAGAAACAGACGCTGAACAAGCAGCTGAAGCAAGCCATGGCCAACGCCGCCACACAATTCACACTTGCACAGCGATGACATTGAGCACGCTCACAAAGGCGAGTACGATCGTACGGTCGAGCAAGCAAGTACGATCAGGCGAGTACGATCATCCGGTCGAACACTCCCCTCAAGACAACGCCTCCCGCACTCGATACTCTCGACTCGGCAAACCAACAAAAGCCATGGTTCGCGGACGGCTCAAGCTGCACAAGAAGACCAAGCCGTTCAAGCTCCGTGTTGCCAAGTCTGCCTCGACCATGGAGTGCTCGTCTGAGCTCCTCGCCCTCATGGCATGCTATGAGAGCAATGAGCTTTCCTCTGCGAGGTGTAGGCAAGCCCAGTTGGCCCTCATGGCCTGTGTCGGCTCGGTCGAGCGCAAGATGAAGACCCACGGGCCCACCATCAACTACCACCTCAAACGCTTGGAACGCCAACAACAGAGCTAGACCACATCATTCTCATCCTTCGCGACATGTTAACCTCTCGCCACATCTACTTGTCTGCTTCATACCTTTGTTCTACCTCTCGCTATCCCCATTCTCCACCCCCCCCCCTCACCGACACCCTCCCGTCGCTCCGTGTCGCGCTCGCCCGGCCACTCGCCCGTCCTCCGCCAGCCCTGGCCCACTTCTCCGCGTGCGCCCTCGTTCTCTCGAGCAACACCCTCTGCTCATCTGCTGCTGCGCGCTGCATCCAGTCACCAGACACGCGCCCTTCTTGTCCTCTCTCGGTAGACTGGTGCACTCCCTCCCGGCTTGCCCTTGGTCGCCGCAGCCATCACAGCACGCTGCGCTGCCCTCCTCGCCCACCGTCGCGGCCTCTTGCGCTCCATGCTCCACGCCTGACGTCCTGCGCCTCGCAACCCACCCCCGCCATCAGCACGGATCGTCCATGCGCATCTCGACCCTCGATCATCATTGCGATGCCCATGAAGCTCTCACAACCCCCTCCCTACTCTCCCCTCCCCACATCTGCCTCGCACACACACACAGGCAGCCCCCAAACCATCACCGTGACCCTCACACATGCATGACGCAGGTCCGGTACGCCCCCCCCCCCCCCCCCTCCCCCACCCCCTCTCCCCCTCTCCCCCTCTCCCACTCCCACCACCCCACTCCACCTCACCCCAGCCCCAGCCTGCCCATGACACCCACATGGGCATGGAACATGTTCGAGAAGAGCGTGCCCTACGCCATGCTCGCCTTTGCCGCACCTGTGGTCCTGGCCATCGCCCGCCATCCCTCCATGTTTGTCCGCCGCTACGCCCGCCGTCACCGACTGCTCGGCGGTGCGCTGCTGATGCATCTGAGTCTGGGATGGATGATGCTACTGGCTCCGATGCCACAGGTGAAGGAGGAGATGATCAAAGAGTATTCCACGGCGTACAACGTGGTGTTGGGCCTCCTCGGCTGTGCCACAACAGCAGCAGCCGCTGCAGACTTTGCCGCCGCCCATGACGAGGCCCGGATCGCCAACGCCGCCTCGGGCACGTTGTCGGAGCGGGCGGTGGTGACCACCGCCGAGATGGTGGAGCACGTCTTCTACCAGCTGCTCAACCTGGCACAGGCTGTCTTCATCGCTCTTGTTCCGGCTTGGCCACTCAGCGCGCGCCTCATCGCACTTGCTGCCATCACCTGCCTCTGGCTCCTTCGCCCGCTCTTCCCGGTCAACTCGTTCTCCGACAACTACCAGACCGATGCGGCTGCAGCAGCCGAATCGCCGCTCGTTCCTGTCATGTACCGGGTCAAGAAGGCCCAGTACCTGCTGTACAAGCACGCGCTTCTCCATGGGCTCAACGTCTCGCTCGCTGTGAACGGACTCGCCCTCGCCTCTCATCGCGCCTTCCCCTACTACTGGCTCGCCCTCAACACCGCCTATGTCCTCGAGTTTTTCCTCCAGACCCTTGTCCGCAAGCGCTACATGGCGCAGTCGGTCCATCTCGTCATCAACGGCCTGCTCATGGCCGTCTCCACCGGCGCCGCCCTCGCCGTCCTCGCCCACGTCGACCTCGCTGCCGCCACCCTCTCGCTCGTCCTCAACTTTGCCCATCGCGGCCACGAGGTGCTCAACACTGGCCTCGTCACTCTTGTTGCGCTTGCTCGACTCTAGCCGCGCTCCATCACCCATCGCTAGCCCCGATGTTAACACAGATCACCACCCCGCCTGCCTGTCCCCCTCGCCACGTCCTGCCGCCCCAGCCACTTTGCCCATCCCCGCCGGCCACTCAACGCGCCGCCATGGCCCTCCTCCCTCTGCTGCAAAGGCCATCAAGCTCGCAGGGCCACTCCCTCTGGCAGCATACATGCGAACATGCCTCACACATCCTACACTGGGTTACTACGCCAAGCAGGACGTGTTTGGCGCCGCCGGCGACTTTGTCACCGCACCCGAAGTCTCTCAGCTATTTGCCGACTCGCTCGCTGTCTACGGCATTCACGCTCTGGCGGATCATCTCGCTCCTGCTGCGACTACTGCTGCTCCTGCTGCTACGCCTGTGCTTCACTACGTCGAGCTTGGTCCTGGTCGTGGCACTCTGGCTTCCGATCTTCTTCGCGCTGCTGCAAAGATCGCAAAGCTCCCGCAGGACTCGATCCACGTCCACCTTGTCGAGGCCTCGCCGTTTCTCTCGGGATCGCGGCCAAAGCGCTCGGTGCCCGCCACGCTCCGGCTGCGTCTGCGTCTGCTGCTCAACCAAACTCTCGCCGCCGCTCCGCCCGCAGAGGTAAGGTCTCGCGGACCGAAGCTGCCGCGCGGAGGGAGCGAGCCAAGCGTGGATCGCGCGAGACGCCGTCAGGTCCGCGCGCCACCTCGGGATCGGAACGCTCCGCCATCGCATCTGTAGCGTGGTACGACTCTGTCCGCGAGCTGGAAGGCGCCTTTGCCGACGGAGCACCAATCTACGTCGTCGCCAATGAGTTCTTCGATGCGCTCCCGGTCCATCAGCTGCTGCGAGTCGACGGCGCCTGGCGCGAGCGGCTGGTCGGCCTCGACCCAAGCGGCGACGCGCTGACGCTGACGCTCTCCGACGCGCCGACACTCGCCTGCTCTATGGTTGTCGATGACGGCTCGGTGCCGGTTGTCGACGGCGATGGCATCGAGATCTCGCCCGACTCATGGGCCGCCGCCAAGGAGCTGGCCCGCGTTCTCGCCGCGGCGCCGGCGCCTGCCTTTGCCGGCGCCATCATCGACTACGGCTGGGCCTCGCCGGTCCCAGCCTCGCTCCGCGCCATCAAGGACCATGCCGTCCTCACTTCATTCCTCGACCATCCCGGCGACGCCGATCTCACCGCCGACGTCGACTTTGGCACCTTGGCCAAGGTTCTCACCGCGAGCTCGGACGCGCTCGCCGTTGCCCCTCTCCTCGACCAGGGCGTCGCTCTCCAGAAGCTCGGCATCGCCGCCCGGACCGAGACCCTTCTCGCTGCTGGTGCGTCAGCAGACGACATCATCCCGGGCGTGGAGCGCCTCGTCGCGCCCGACGCCATGGGCTCCATCTACAAGGCGCTGTTCTTCGGCTCGCGCAACGCGCTGCCGTCGCTTTAAGGCTTTTCATCGCGCAAGCCGCGCTCCGGGCGACGCTCCACAGACGTCGCAACGTCCATGAATTGTTGTAAAAGAGTAGTACAATGTGTTACTGGCTGCCACAACAGAACACAGTCGGCGATGCAGAGATGGACGCCGCGCGCGGCGCAAAAGGTCTGTGGCCGCGATCGCTTACCATGGAGTTTCGGGCAGGCGAGGCAGTCGCGTCGTAGAGCGGCTTGTTGGGGAATGTGGTGATGACAAGCAGCCGCCGCAGAGGGAGCTGACGGCGCCGGCGTCGGCGGCGTGGGCGTCGATGATGTTGTAGAGAAAAGCCAAGCGAGTCATGGCGGGGCGTGGGCTCGCGTCAGCGTAGAGCGCGTACGTGTTGATGAGGAGCGGCGTCCAGAATCCAGTACAAGATGGCGTGCCACCACTTGCGCTGCCACGCCGACCGGCAAGCTCGTCCGTCGCAAGACGTCCTCGCGCTCTCCCGCCCGGCTGCTGTGTTCAGCTCTGTGATGCTCTCCTTCTCGGTCCTCGGGGTCGTCAACAACAAGCCCCTCACCATGCGACAACGCGTCTGAACGACCGTACCGTTAAGGGTTCAGGCTTGCCGCTCAAAGCTGCCACCACTTCTTGTTCTCTTGCTCGCGGACGTACTCGGCGATTGACGCCTCCATCTGCCGCGCGTTCTCCGCCATCTCTGCCGTCTGCTCGCCGAGCTGCTCCATCTTCTCGCCGCGCTCTGCAAGCTTGTTCCGGTTCTCGGCCATCATCCGCTTGACCTCGGCTGAGGTTGCCGGTCGTGACGCCGCCCTGCTCTCGTCGTCGCCCGCGGCCTCGTCCGTGGCCGCATCACTCGCCACAGGGCCGAGCAGCTCCTCGAGCTCGGGAGACACGCCCGACTCGGACTTTCCGCCCAGAAGCGACTTGAAGAAGCCCTTGCGCTTTGGCCGCGCCGGTAGCGCTGCCGCCTGTACATACGGTCCGCTCGCCGGAAGGCCCAGCAGCCCGCGCCTCTCGCCAAACAAGCCAACATGGACGAGCTCGCCCGAGTCGAGCACCACCGCCAGGTGCCCGTCGCCCGCGGCGCAGAGCCCGGTCTCAGTCACGCTGCGCGTCACCGGTCGCTCCACAATCGCTTCGAGCGAGTCGCGGAGCACAAGATGGAGCGTAAGGAGCGAGAGCACGTACACCGCCCCGCTGCTGCTCACCGCAACAAGCCCGGCCCCGCCGTGCTCGCCATCACGGACCACCGCAGAAAACACCAGCGAGGTCGTCGGCTTGGCCAGCCGCGTAAAGATAAGGTCCAGCGTACTGGCCTCGTTCCAAGCGTACATCCGTATCTCGTGCTCACACACTACCGCAAGGTGGCGCGCCTCGTCGCCGACCACGTGCACGCCGGTCACCCCGCCCGATGCCTTGCCCTCCCGCGGCAAGCGCACCACCGCCCCCGCCTCGCCTGCAACAGGCAACACAATCGCCTCGCCCGACGAGCCTCCCGCTGCAAGCACCAGCGGCGCGTCGCCAGGCGCCCGCACAAACGCCACAGCCGTCGCCCGTGCCTCTGCTACGCTCGCCGCCACCCCGACCGCCTCAAGCGACAGCGTTGCCACAGCCACGACAACCACCGCGCCTGAGAGCAGCCCGAGCGCGAGATGCTCGCCTTTGGTGTCAAGCGCAACCACAGAGCACCGGTTGTCGCTCGTGCCGTCGGGGCAAACCACGCCGCGCACAAGCAGCCCAACATCCGCCGGCACCACGTCGACCACCTCTTCGGCCTCGCTCAGCTCGCCGTCGCAGGTGTATCGAGCTACCACATGCCGCGCGGGCTCGTCGTCATCGCTGAGACTCGTGCACACGCCCACGAGGTAGATTTCGCCCGAGCCGCAGAGCACGGCGAGGCAGAGCGTGCCATCAGTCGAGCATGCCGCCGCAAGGCCCACAACACGCGCGTCCATCGGCATCGTCGGGCATGCCATGTTGACATTGAGCGTGCTGAGCTCGCAAAGCGCAGGCGTTGTCACGTCCCACACGCTCACCACGCCGCTCGAGTGTCCGGTGACAAGCAGCCGCGCCCCGACTGACGCCTCGCCGGCCAGCCCCTGTCCCAGCGCGCCACCCACCAGCGGCCACTCGTCACGTGGGCTTGTATACGTCCCGCGCGGCGAGGTCCGGTACAGATGCGAAACAAGCTCGAGCGGGACGTTCTCGAGACAGTACGTTGCCGTCACACCGCCCGCCGCAAGCGCCAGCGACCGCGGCAGCGGCAGCTCGAGGTACTGGTTCCCGCCCGCCACAGCGCTCCCTCCCGACACATCGCACAGCACCGCCAGCGCTGCCGTCGGCGTCGACCCGGTCACCACCACCATTGTCGGCATTTCGGTCGGCGAGGCCGGCCAGACGCCGGCGGCGCTCGTTGTGCCGTCGCCGGCTTCGGACCCACCCTCACCGCCCACAATCGGCAACAACTTACTCGCTCCCGCAGCAAGGTCGATCGAGTCGATGTGGCCGTGCGTCACAAAAAGCGCGCCGTCCGGCATGGCGGCCGAGAACCCGTGGATGATCCGCACCACGCCGCCGTTTCCTCCCTCGCCTCCGCGCGGCCGCGGCGTGAGCATCATCAGTGCATCGCGCTCCATCTCGTCTGGCACAATCCACGCGAGGTCCACCACCCGGGCATCATCGATAGGGAACACGCGCACGTCTTTTCCCGAGCCCTTGATCCCAAAGTCGGCCAAGGCGCTGGATGTGCTCCCGGCGTACGCCACCGCGACCCGCTTCCCGTCGCGGCGCCAAGCCATCGCTGTCACCCGCCCGTGCTCCGGCGCAGTAGCCGGTGCCGCTAGCATCCGCGGCGTCTTGGACGCCAGCTCGACTACCATTGCCACTCCGTCGTCGGTTCCGACACATAGCACGCCATCGTCGACCGGGCTCGGTGCAAGGACCGAGATCGCGCCGACACCCAGCGCTATCGAGTACAGCGAGAACCGCTGCTTGGCGCAGTTAAACACCGTGACGTCGCCGCGGACGCTGCCTGTAAACACAAAGTGTGATCCAAGTCCACAAGCAAGCGCGCTGACTGGTGCACCGTCCGGCGTCGGATACGCCTTGGCCTCGGGCGAGGCCTGCGGCGAGGTCACGTCCCACACCACCAGCTCGGAGCCGATAGCGGCGACCAGCAGCAGCTGCGAAGACACCGAGCTCGATCCCGAGTCGTCACCAACTGCTGCAGCAGCAACAAAGACCAGATCCGCCACATGACACGGCATGGGTGGGCGCAGCAGAGCCAGCTCGACTCCCTGACACCCGAGGATCTTGATGGCGCCGTCTCTCGAGCCGAGCGCGATGAGCGAGGCATGCGGAGCGTATGCTGCAGCCGTAATGGATGGAAGCAGACCACAATGCAAAAGGCGATTCGGATTCGGTTGCATATCATCCGTTGAATCCGCCATATCGTCCGGCGGTGGTCGCGTGTACGCACCCGAGCCGCCACCTCGCCCGCTCGATGCCGAGCTCCCTGCCTGCGAACCGCCATGCACCCTCCCTTCCTCGCCCTTCCCTTGCTTCCAGAAAACATAGACTTGAGAGACTTGAACATCCTCCTCCTCCTCCTCCCACAGACACAGGATCTCGTGCGAGTTGAGTGTGCTGCGTACGACCTGTCGTCCACCCCCTCTTCCGTCGGCCTCACCGCGTGACACCACTCGACGGGTGACGAATGCCTGACGCGTGCTCAGGCTGACGTCCGCTGACGTGGATCTTGATGAGTGCATCATGGCACGAGATCGCAACCGATGGCATCCATGTCGGCTGGCATGTGCCTGTTGCTGCTGTGGTGTGGGCTGTCGAGCTGTGTGCTGTTGGTGGCTTGGCTTGGGTTTAAGGGGGGGGCACAACGTGAGGGCGCCCGGCGGCGGTTCTCCGTGACCACAGGCGTGAGAACACGTGGTGTCGACGGACGATTACGGTGTGTATGGCAGACGGTATTTGCCACCGCGGGTGCCAAGCGAGGACGACGACCGGCCGGTGATGATGTTGTAGTCGACAATCGACTGCGAGGTGTGAAAGGGCGCCTTGCCCTTGGCCGGCAGCACGATGTTACCGTCGTGGCTGCGACTTGGGCCAGCCCGTCGCGGCGCCGACCGCTCTTCCTCGCAGGTGAGGATGTTGTACGACCGCGAAGGCGCGCGAGGCGGCGGTGGATGGCGATGCGAGGCCGGCGCGCTTCTCCCGGACCCGTACTGTGGTGGCGGCTGTCGCGCACCAGACCGCACCAGCGGCGAGACCCGCTCGGCATCAGACGCCAGCGGCTGGCCGCCGATAATGTCGTAGGTGTAGTTGCTGTGGTTGGCAGTCACCCGCGGCGGCGAGACTCGCGCCGTCGATCGGTCCGAGATCGAACGCCGCCCGGCAGCGTGCTGCGGGGGCAAGGCCGCCGGCGGTGGGCTCTGTCCGCCATGGCCATACGGATCCGCCCGCGAGAGCCTTGCGGTCGGCGAAGCTACCGCCGCGCCGTGATCAATGTTGGACAAGATGTTGTACGGTGTCCGATCTCTCTGCTTGGCCAGAGCGCCCGAGGTCCTCACCTTCTGCGATCGCACCGCCTGCTCCCGAGACCGCACGGCCAGCTCATGATCCGGATCGGTGTACCTTCCGGTCAGCGGATTGAAGGCAGCCTCGACCGCCTTGACCTCTGCATGCGTCACACGATGCGGCGTCTCGCTCGGAAGACGGAAGCCGAGCGCCGACCTCGACCGCTCGTACGCCGCAAGCTCGGACGCCCATTGCCGGTCTTCCGGCACAGGTGACGCGCCCGCATGCGTCGCCCGTGCATATGGCCCACCCGGCGACCGGTTGTACCCGTGGTGTTGTGCGTACTTCTGGAAGCGTGACATCCCGCCCAAGAGCGGTCTTGCCGCCCCGCCGTCGCCTGCTTGGACCGTTGTCGGCCAACTGCCGCGTTCCGACCACCCGCCCTCCATTGATGAGCGGCACCTCGGGGAAGGATTCGCTGTGCGGTCTGCCACACAGCCGATCCTGCACGACATGACTACGCATCCATACATGCACGTACATGTGGACATCAGCAGCTGCATCGCGTCTACTGGATTCTGTAGCCCACCCCACCCAATCGCTTTGTTCCCCCCTCCCCCCCCCCCCCCTGCACCTCGGCAAACCACCCGGCGATCCGCCCACAGCCGAACCAAATAGCCGGCTGACAAAGGGTTGTTCGGTAGACCGAGTCGGCGACCGAGCCGCAGCACAGCGGCACTGCACTCGACGCCAGTTGAGCGACACATGGCGGGGTGGAGCAGAGGTGCGGTGGGTAGAACTTTGGTTATGGTAGCAGTAGGCATGCACATTGTGCTTGTGCTCTCTTCGCAGTCGTCGCTTGTGGCCGCCACATTGCCCACTCTCACCTTTCGCAGCTCATCATCAGAGACTTCTCGCCTGGTCACGGCCGGCGACAAGGTCCCGCTCATCGTCTCCATCTCATCCACCTGTCCAGCGCCAAGCGGATGCTCGTTCAACATCACATGCGTGGGACAGACGCTTGGCAATGTCACTGCCCTCACGCACATCGTCATCGGCTCTACGGTCTGGTCCGCCGACAACGTCACCGCGTCCGCAGTTGTGGACGTCTACGACTGCCTCGCCTTTGTCCACTACCTCGACTCGGGCCTTGTCTCTGATCCGTCAAACGTGCTCCAGCTTGACGTCCGTCCGAGGCCAAGCGGTCACATCTCTGTCGCGCCGGCTACTGCGTTTGTCGGCCAGAAGATCGGCGCCTCCGTGAGCTTTACCGGCGGCGGCACCTTTGATCCGGGCGACTTTGAGATCCGCAAGTCATCGCCGCCGTACGCAGTGACCAACTTCCTTGGCACCCGCGGGCCGACCAAAACCAACCCGTTGTATATCTCCCCGTTCTACACAGAGCCGTTCGAAGCTGGAGACCTTCATCCGGCTGCCATCCCCACCCTCCTCAGGATCTACGTCGTCATCACCAACACCGAGCGCGGCTCGGTCGTCGTCGAGGCTCCGGCCCGGCTCGAGCTCTTTCCGGCTCCATCGTTCAACTTGTCGCTAGCGTCCGGCCCGCTCCTGACCTACTCGGCCAATGCAAGCCTGGTCGTCTCGCAGCTGGTCTTCGACACCCCATCGGCCAACCTCGCCATCGAGCTTGTTTCGCTCTCAAACGGCTCAACAGTTGCAACCGCCTCGTACACCATCGCCGGCCCGACGCCTGCGCCGCTTGATCTTGTCCACAACGCAGTCGTCCCCTCGTCACACTGGGCTCCCTACTCCAGCTGGGCCTTCCGGGTCACGATCACGGACGGCCGCGGAGCCGAAGCTGCGCCAGTCGTCTCGCCTGCGTGGCAACTCGTTCCGCCGGCGGCGTTCTCCGCACTCACCCCGGCCACCACCACTGCAAACGTCTCCACGGTGGTCTCCACCTACCTCACAGCAGGCGGCGTGCTCCCGATCAACGCCACCCTTGTCATCGCACTTCCATCAGGCGAGGCAGTGTGGACCTCGCACCACTCCATTGCCGCTGCCGCTGACTGGATCTTCCTTGCCGACGTTACCCTTTCCGTGCCGGAGGTGTACAATGTGTCGGTGACCGGCGCCGATGCGCTGGGCGTGCCCATGTTTGCGCTAGCCACGAATCTGGTTGTCAACCGCCCGCTCAGTCCTGGCGGCGGGCCCGCTACGCCCGACCCGGTTGTGGCGACCTGGACCACGACACGCACCACCGCAGGCACTCCCGCGCCACTCACCGTTGCGTTTAGTGGCGGCACGCCGCCGTTTGCGCTCACAATTGTTGCTCATGCCCAGGCCAGCGAGCCGCGCGCAGGCAACGTCACCACTTTGTACTCGACCATCGCCTCGCTGCCGGCTACCGGTCTGGCTGTGACGTTTAGCGATGCCGACGTCATCGCACTCGGCTCCAACGTTGTCTTTTACGTCCGTGTTGTCGACAGCGTTGGCGCCGTCCTCGACATTCCCGCCAACATGTCGTCGGTCCTCTCGCTGGCGCTCCGCCCGACGATAGACACAACGGGCATGTCCATGACGAGCCAGTCGCTGACTTCGGGCGCGCTACTCAATCTGACGGTTGGCAGCGTGTCGGGAGGCCACGGAGTTCCAAGCGAGTTCACGTACGATGTAGCAATTATCAGCTTTCCATCCGGCGTGGTCCTGTTCTCGTTTCCGGGCCTGGTCCTTTCGCCTGATGGCGTTGTCGCCGTCGGCCCGCTCCCGGTTGCATCTGTCACCTTTGCCAACATCAGCATCACCGCCCGTGACGCGCTCGGTGGGCTTGGGCACCCACTCCTCCTCCCGCTCACGCTCTACCCGGCACTAATTGCCGGAAGTATGTCGGCGGGTCGTGCCAACATAACGTCGGTCGGTGCTGATCCGCTCTCGGTCACCATCGCAAGTGCGTCGGGCGGCCAGCCGCCATACCACGCCAGTGTCTGGTTGGAGAGACTGGACGGGGAGCGCGGACTTGTCACGATTGTGCCGATTACTGCTGCCGAAACCACCGTCCTCGTTCCCGTTCCAAGCACTGTTGGTGACTACACGCTCCACAGTGCAGTGGTCGACGCATCGGGCTGGACCGCACCGCTGGTCAACGCCTCAAGTGTCGTCACAATCGTGCCGCGCCCGCTGGTGGACGTTGTGGTGCCGAGCTTGGCCAACACCACGGCTGGCGTGACGATTACGTTCTCGGCCAGCGTCATTCACGGCATTGCGCCGCTGATGAGCGCGGTGGTCGACGTTGTCGACGCCAGCGCGCCAGGCACTGTGTTGGTTGCCTCGGCGGCCGCGGTTGAGCTCGCGCCGCAGAGCTTCATTTTCAGCTACGACTTTGCGGCGACGCCGCCACTGTACAACCGCGCGTCGCTCGTTGCGCTTGCGCTGAGCGTCACGGATGCGCACGGCGCGCAATCGCTCTCGTTTGTGACGCCTGGCGCGGCGATCGCGCCACCGGTGAGCATCACGGGCCTGCGGCTCGAGACTGTGGCCGGCGTCGACATTGTTGGCGGCGCAGTGACTGCTGGCCTGCAGCTAAGAGCGGTGGCAGACGTCGACGGCGGGACTGGCGAGCTGGCCGCGAGCGTGGCGGTGGACGGCGCGGTGCTGGTCACCGGCGATGCAGAGCGAGGTGCGGCCTGGCGGTCAAGCGCGTGGGTGGCCGGGACCGAGACTGATGGCCAAGTCGACGTAGCGGTGACAGTACGCGACGCACTCGGTTCGCAGGGGCAGGCGACGCTGGCGGCGGTGCGGATCAATCCGCAGCCAAGCGCCAGAGTCGAGGTTGCCGGGTCGGGCGTTCGTACCGTGGGCGAGAGTGTTGTGGTGAGCGTTGTTGATGCGATCGGCGGGACCGGAAGCCTTGCGTTTGATGTCAGTGTCGAAGACGTGGCCAGTAGCACGACGCTCAACAGCTCTGCGGCGGTGGGCAGCGCGCCTGGCAGCGTGTCGCTGGAGGTGCTGGCCGGGTACGCGGCAGCGGACGATAGCGTGCGCGAGATCCGGTTTGTGGCGCGGCTGACGGACGCCCTCGGCGCTGTGGCTGTGCGCGGCGGCGTGAGTGCGACGGTGCTGGTGGCGCCGGTTTCGGGCCGAGTGGCGGCGAATGCATCGCCGCCGAGCGGCGGAGGCATCGACATGACGCTCATTGCGGTGGTGGCGGCAGTGGCCGGTATCTGCCTCGCATGCATCATTCTTGGCATTGTGATCGCGGTCTGCTCCGGAAGCGACGATGACGATGACGCGCACAAACCGCCCGAGGCCGCGTACGGAGTGAACGCAGCTCTAGATGCCGACATTGCCGCGTACGACTTTGGCGCCGGCGCCGAGTCCGACGCGACCTCGGTCGGCGTGGCCGACGCCGAGGAGCTGCTGGCAGCGGGGGATGTGCCGGTGGCGGCCGCCACGCCGCGGCTATTTGTCCACACCACAACCCTTCCGCCCAAGCCGCCGCCGCCAATCGGGTTTGCCGGCGCAGCGCTGTCGCGACCAACGACCACTCCTGGCGCGCTCCCGCCCAAGCCGGTACACGTGCCATCGACAACAGAGATTTTTGGCCAGCAGTAGCGCGCTCAGCCGCAGCAGCAGCCGCTGCGGCGAGCAAGCGAGTAAGAAGAGGTGGAGGTGGAGAGAGTCGAGTCAGCCGACGAGCCTGTGTCCCATTGTCTCGGATCGTAGTTGAGCACCGCGGGAGGCCGGCAAGAGACGGAATGACGACCGCCGCCGAGACACCGAGGGTGTCGTCGAACCCGGGCGGGCGCGGGATCTTTGGCTGGGTGAGATGCGGATCGACGGCGACGGCGAGGTCTGCGGCTTCGGCCAGAGTCGCGCCGTAGGTGGGGTCGGCGACAAAGGCAGCAACAAAGGCGTCCGGGTCAAACCGCTTGATGAGGGCGACGAGGTGCTCCTTGTGGCGCGGAAGCATGTTGAAGCAGACGACGATGGGCGAGCCGAGAGAGGCGTCTGGCTTCAGTAGCCGAACAAACCTCCTTCGTGACTTGCGAGCGGCGCGGAGAGCTAGGACGTCAAAGATTGAGGCGTCGAGGGCAAGCAGCATGCGCCCGTCGGCCTCGGCGCGACAGTGGGTCGCCTCAGCGACGGCGTGGTCGGCAGCGTCGGCATCCAGCAGATCGTCCGAGGTCCAACGAATCCAGCTCGGATCATGGCCATCCCACAAGCCCAGAGCATGCCCTGCGTCCATGGTGCTTGCCCAACCATCGCCCGTCTCGCACACCACCACCGACGGGCAGCTGCCACAGGCGCCGGATCGAAGGGCACTCGCCGCCCTCCTTGCCGATCGCAGCGGCTCGTCCTCGTTCCGAGCCGACGTCAGCGTTCCTGTCTTGTCGATGATGACATGCGAGACGTTCTCCATTCCTTCCATCTCCTCCGCCTTGCGCACCTCCATCCATCCGTCGCCGTCATCCGCCTCTGTCCGACTCGACTTGCGCCGCCGCTGCCGACGCCCGCGGACTGAGCTGGTGGACTCGACCGACTCTGCTGTCACCGACAAAGATGCAGATGATGTAGAGAGGTAGCCTGTGGCCATGGTCCGTTTGGAGTGCAGTGTGTGTGGTGGTGGTAGGGGGGGGGAGGGAGGGAGGGAGGAGGAGGGAGGGGAGTCGGGCCTGTGGTCATCGGCCTGCGGTCATGGTCACCGGCTGTGGACAGTGATTGTGGCCATCGGCTGCAGTCGTCGGGTATGGTCATCGCCAGCAATCATCGTCATCAGGTCTCGTCGGTCATCGCCAACAATCATCGTCATCAGGTCTCGTCGGTCATCGCCAGCAATCATCGTCATCAGGTCTCGTCGGTCATCGCCAGCAATCATTGTCATCAGGTCTCGTCGGTCATCGCCAGCAATCATCGTCATCAGGTCTCGTTGGTCATCGCCAGCAATCATCGTCATCAGGTCTCGTCGGTCATCGCCAGCAATCATCGTCATCAGGTCTCGTCGGTCATCGCCAGCAATCATCGTCATCAGGTCTCGTTGGTCATCGCCAGCAATCATCGTCATCAGGTCTCGTCGGTCATCGCCAGCAATCATCGTCATCAGGTCTCGTCGGTCATCGCCAGCAATCATCGTCATCAGGTCTCGTCGGTCATCGCCAGCAATCATCGTCATCAGGTCTCGTCGGTCATCGCCAGCAATCATCGTCATCAGGTCTCGTCGGTCATCGCCAGCAATCATCGTCATCAGGTCTCGTCGGTCATCGCCAGCAATCATCGTCATCAGGTCTCGTCGGTCATCGCCAGCAATCATCGTCATCAGGTCTCGTCGGTCATCGCCAGCAATCATCGTCATCAGGTCTCGTTGGTCATCGCCAGCAATCATCGTCATCAGGTCTCGTCGGTCATCGCCAGCAATCATCGTCATCAGGTCTCGTTGGTCATCGCCAGCAATCATCGTCATCAGGTCTCGTTGGTCATCGCCAGCAGTCGTCGCCAGCAATCGTTCCCCACACCTGCCTGTCGCCAACAGCCATCAGCCACAACCCCAGTCGTCGCCAGCCAGAATCAGGTGCGTGCAGAGGCCAGAGCCGCACCTCTCTCACACACACACTCTCTCTCTCTCTCTCTCTCCATGTCCAGCCCCACGGGTCAAGCATTCAGCGGATACTCGCTGTGGCTCGTCCCGCCCGAGCCGGTTGCCGCGAGCTTTGCAGCAACCATCGTGGAAGCGTCGGCCGAAGTCAACACACCGCCGTTCCCGCCGCACGTTACTCTGCTCGGCGGACTGCCGGAGAGTGTGACCGAAGCTGATGCCCGCCGTGGATGCGAGGCCATTGCAGCTGCTGTTGGACCGTATGAGATGGTGGTCACCGGAGTCGATGTTCTGCCAGACTCGATGTTCCGCTGCGTCTTTCTCCGCATCGATCCCACCGCCGACGTCCTTGCGGCCTTTGAGACGGCCAAGACGGCTCTTGCCGTCGCCGACGTCGACAAGTACGCCGGCTACATGCCGCACCTCTCGCTTGTTTACGCAGACATCGATCTTGAGAGCCGCGAGCGCATGGCTGCGGCCATCGGGCCCAAGCACGATGGCGAGTCGTTCACCGTCTCGCGCCTCGAGCTGTGGGACACTGCCGGCGTCCATTCCGAGTGGTCCATGGTTGCCGCCTACGAGCTGGCCGGTGGTAGCGGCGACAAGTAAATCATACACAGCTCGCGCTTGGTTGAAGCGGGAGGATGACGCGCTACGGCGTGTTCTTGAGAGCCGCAAACTGCGCGCCGCGGCGCGACATGCGCCGCGACGCCTTTTGGCTCTGGCTTCGCTGCTCACGCCGCTTGCCCCTCACCGAGTGCTGCCCGCCGCCACTGCCGCTGAGCTGCAGCCGGCGCGATGACATGCCGGGTGACTCGCGCTTGTTAAGCGACGAGAGGCTGCCGCCGAGTGTCCGCTGCAGACGTTTGAGCGTGTTCTGACGGGTGAGCTGCGAGCGGCTCTCGGCGTCGAGAGGGCGGGCAAGGCGACCGGCGGAGCCCGACGCTTTGCGCAGCGCTTGTGCAGCCTTGGCGGCCTTGGCGGCCTTGGCCACCGCCGCCCGCTTCCGTCCCGCCTCCTCGCTACGGATGGCGGCCTCGGCCTCGGCCTGTGCCCGCTTCCGATCAGCTGCGGCGAGCTTGCGGAGCTCGGTCCGCTTCTCCTGGCCAAAGTCCGACTCGGTCGGCTGCGCCTTGCTTGTCCGCCACGGCTTGTCGGCGTCGGCCTCGAGCCGTTTGGCGCGGCCGTCAAAGGTGGGGACGTAGACTTGGTTGCGTGAGCTCGCCCGCCGCTTCTTGGCCATCATGTACTCCTTCCACAGCGGGTTTGCCTCGATGACGTGCTGCTTGGCCTCGGCCTCGCGACGCATGCGCCAAAAGTTGGTCGAGCGCATCGACTCGCGCCCGCGGATCATGGCGTCCTGGCGAACGTTGGTCGACGACTTGGGGAGGAAGAACGGGCGGACAACCTGCGGCTGGTAGCTCGAGCGCTTGAGCTCGTTGTAGAACGGCGAGAGCGCGCCCATGTACCGCTCCTTCTCCTTCATGTACTCGACTTTGCGCCGCCCGCGGTTCGACGGTCGCTGTAGCGCCATGACCACCGCCATGGCGTCGTCGTCGTCGCCGTCAAGCATCGACTTGTGGCTCGCATACTGGGCATCGAGGGTGGCGCCGCCTCCCGGAGGCTGGCTCCCGCCGCGCTGTGCGGGCGTGACAAAGCCGGTCGCATCGCTCCCGTCCGCGCTTCCCCTGTCGCCATCGCTCTGCCCTTCGTCGTCAGACTCGCCGGCTCCAAGTCGCGGTGGCGGGGCCGAGACCGCCCGCAGCGGCGATGCGAGCCGTCGACTTGGCGACGTCAGCTCGGCCACCTTTTCCACCAGCACCGCCTCGTGGGCATCCTCGTCAAGCTTCGGCAGGAGCTCGCGCTTGTCGAGCGGAAAGTCCCACACCGGGTCGGCGACCTTGAGCAGCAGCTCGCCGTAGTATTCGCCGTAAGGAGAGTAGGCTTTGACCCGCCCGCTTTGGGTGCCAAATAGCAGCGCCGGGACTGGCTCCGACACTGCCACCGCCGTCACGTATTCGTTCGAGCCTGGCCAGACGTGCATGGTAAAGGCGTTGAGGTTGGTGAGCACTTGGTTGCGATCGCCCGAGACGTGCCGCGGAAAGCGAATGGCGCTGGCGCGCTTCCGCCGTCTCCGCTCGTCGACCACCCTCCGGTAGTCGTCGGGTGTGCTGCGGCCGTGGAGCTCGTGCAGCGGCAGGGCGTCGGTGACCCGAAGGCAGCGGGCCCGGTTGAGCTTGCTCGCCGACGACTGGGAGGCCGACGAGCCGCCCTCAACTCGCGAGCCGGTGCCAAAGCCGCGCCCGCGCGCGAGCCGCTGAACCCGCGCCCGGACGGCAGCCTCGTGGCGGGCGCGCGCCTCGGCCGCCGACTCGGCCTCGTCGTCAGCCTCGTTGGGCACACCGGTCACCCGCGCCACCTCATCGTCGAGGCCGCGGAGGTACGCCTGCGCCTGCGAGAGAACTACCGGTGCGAGGTCGGCGTGAGCATCGGACTCGTCGGCAGCCACCAGCGCCGCGTATGCCGGCGTGGTTGTGGCCGGCGGCGGCGGTCCCCCTGCCGAGTCACCCGGAAGCTCCGGAAGGGCGCGGGAGGCTCGCGATGCGGCGCGGGCGGCGCGCCGTGCCCGCACATCCTCAGCGGCCTCAACGGCGTACCACAGCTCACGGGCGATTTCGATGAGCGACCACGACATGGCGTGGAGCGGGCCGTCGACAGCTTCCTGGTGGGTGGAGACGAGGACCTTGGCCGCCGCCGAGTAGGTGAGGCTGTTGATGTTGAGCTCAGCGCCGAGCTGCATGGTGGAGAGCGCGTTGAAGGAGCCGAGCGAGTAGACGATGATGCGGGCGCCAGTGTCGGCGGTGATGAACGCGTCCATGTTGTGGGCAAAGCAGGCGGCCGTAATGTCGCGCTCGATGCGCTTGGTGTGGTACGACGAGTACGTGTCCATCTTCCAGATGTGAAAGGCAAGGCCCGAGCCGCCGCAAGCAAACATGCGGACGTGCGGGCAGTAGGCCGAGGCCGAGACATCGTGCTGCTGCGACTCGTTTGACGAGTGCAGGGTGTACATGACCCGCTCAGCGCCGGGTGTGGAAATGTCGTAAACGAGGATGTAACCCTGGGTGGTGGTGAGGAGTAGTGCGTCCTGGCCGACATGGTACAGGTCGCAGACGTTGTCGAGCGCAAAGGCCGACGAGAGGACGGCGGTCTCGGGCAGGGAGTCGGGCGGAGTGATGGGGTCGTATTTGGACTCGACCGGCTTGCCGGCGCCAAAGTAGATTTCGGAGGAGAGGAGCTCACAGGCAAAGGCCTGGAACGAGAGGACAAGCGCACCGGTCGAGTAGTTGAAGACCGATATGACGCCGAGAGCATTGGCCACAATGACCTGGCGCTGGTTGCGGGAGAGCCGCAGCAGGACAATCTCGCAGGAGGAAAAATGCGAGTAGGTGGCAATGGCTCGCGCGGTGGCCACGTCCCAGATGGTGACCTCGGTGCCGGCAACGACAAGGATGTTGTCAAAGGCCGAGTTGTAGATGAGGGTGGAAATAGGAAACTTGGCGGCCGAGTCGTCGACCGACTCGCCAAGCGAGGGGTAGATGAGCCACCGGCGGCCGACGGTGATGATGGACGCCGTCTTGGGCGAGTAGGTGAGACACTCAAAAGGGCGGACAAAGTGCGGCGAGCCGCGGCCGCCAAGCGTCTGCAGGCATTGGAAACGGCGGATGTCCCAGACCCTGATCTTGCCGGCCATGTCGGCGGAAATGACCTCGTGCGAGTGAGGGATGGCGATAATGGAGAGGATCGGCTTGTCGTGGCCAGACATTCGCTGAAGGACCGAGTCCATGAACGGGTTCCACACCAAAAGGTCGCGGTCGACGCCACCCGAGACAACGAGCTTGGACTTTTCGGCAAAGGCCACGGCGTGGACAGCCTTGGAGTGGCCGGTGAAGACAACGCGCTTGCGTGCGCGCTCGACGTCCCAGACCACAACGGTGCCGTCGAGCGAGGCCGAGACAAGCGAGGCGATGGGCGCAATGTACGCAAGGTCGGTGATCCAATTGGTGTGGGCTTTGGGATAGACCTCCATCTCGTCGACAGCGGTCTTGAGGTCAAAGGCCTTGACGAGGCCGTCGGTGCCGCCAGAGAAGAGCTTGCGGATGGGCTCAGCCCAGGCGAGCGCGGTCTGCGGCGTGTCGGTTCGCCACTGCGAGAGCTTTGAGTACGACGTCGCGTCCCACATGATGATGGTCCGGTCGACGGACGAGGTGACGAGCCGGTGGACTTGAACGTCGTCGGACGGCGGGACGAGATCGACGTCGAGGACAGACGATTCGTGACCGCGGAGCCGGCGGACAAGCGTGCCGTTGGCCGGGTTCCACACCGACGCCAGCCCGTTCTTGTGGCAGGTCACAAGGTGGTTGAGTGCCGAGAAGCCTCGGATGCGGGTGATTTGCTCGTCGTGCTCCGGCATGACCAACTCGGGCGTGGTGGCGTACGCAGTGATGCCGAGGCTCTCGATGACCTGGTGCGACTCGCCCGAGTGCAGAACGTAGTCGAGGAACTCGGTCGAGGAGACCACGCCACGCGACCCAATATCGATGCGATTGAAGACTTCGCATAGCTCGGCAACGACCGCGTCGTGCAGCTGCTCCGAGGCGAGGGTGTTGACGCCCGAGTGCGGCGACGCGTTGAGCGCCACCTCAAGTGTAGCCACAAACTCCAGCCGCGAGAGCTCCTGGTCGGGCGCAGCGGCAAAAACTTGCTGAACGTACGCCAGCTGGTCCTTGGAAAGCTGCTGGAGGATGTTGTGGACAATGGCGGCGTGGAGTGTGAGGCCTGCCGACTCGGCCGCCGCCGCTGCGCTAGCTGACGCCTCGGTTGCCGACGACGACGACGACAAGGAGGAGGAAGAAGAGGAAGATCCGACCGACGACGACGAGAGCTCGTCGGAGCTCTCGCCGTCGGTCTGTTTGCCGTGGACGGCGCGATGCCTCCGGCGCATGCGGCGCGAGAGTGCCCTCGCCTGGTCGCGGGCGAGGTGCGGGCGGCCGCGGCGAAAGTCGAGAAGCGACGAGGTTTTGACCAGCGCACGCAGCGGATCGCGGGCCCGCATTGAGGCCAGCAGTCGCGAGTTGGCCGACTCGCGGTCGGCGCCAAGGTCGTGGAGGGCGGCGGCGTGCGGCGACGACGAGGCCGCCGACGCCGCCCGCGCGCGGAGCTTGCGGTCGACCTTGCTCTTGACCTTGGGTGGGCGGTCGAGGATGCGAACGCCACGCGCCGGATTGACCTTGAGCGCTCCGCGCGGGAGCGGATGCAGCACACCACCGGCCGGATCGTTGCGGAGCGGCGGATGGGCGAGCGCCGACGGCGAGTCGGACGGCGGATGGATGGGCACCAGCGTCGCCATGGACCGCGTCAGTCGCGTGTCCATGTCGACCATTGAGACCAGTGGGCGCTCATACGGCCGATCCAGCGGGGCCGCCCGAGGCAGTGCGTCCGGAGGAAGGTGCTTGTAGCCAGGCTCGCGGTCGCTCCGCTCCGACAACGCCGGCGCCTCGGCCCTTCCACCCACGCCAGCCTCGGAGAGCTCTGACGCCGACGCTGTGAGCAGCGCCCGCGAGAGGGTCCGCGACAATGACCGCGACCCGGATAATGACGGGTTCGACGACATGGTGGGTCGAGTGTGGGAGTGGGACGTGGGACGTGGGAGGGGGGGCGGGGGAGGTGCGTTGGCGGTTGGGCGGAGGAGTGAGTGGCGGCGAGCAGGCGATACGAGCTATGGGGAGTGGAAGAAGTGGGCATTGGCGCGATGGGTGGTAGTTGGGGGAAAGATTTGTTGCTCATAGCTGGTTGATGGTGATGTGTGTGCGATGGGATGGGAAGGGGGAGGAGGGGGGGGGGCGAGGAGGTTATCGCTTGTTTGTGTGGCCCGCACCGACGCATGATCAGCAAAAAGCTGGCTCGTGTTACCTATGTCACGTCGATCATAGTGTGGGATTCTGCCTGCAGGATGAAATGAATGATTGGATTCGAGTGTATGTGTACATGTGTGTGTATGCATGAGTATGAGTGTGAGTATGTGTACGTGTATGTGTGATGATGCGATGTCGTTGTATGTTGCATGGTATGTTGGTGTTGATCGATGGTGATCGATTGTTGACATTGAACGTGCTTCACGTTGCTTCCATTGCTGTTCGGTCTTTGTGGTCGTTTCGGCTCCGTTTTTGGGGCTTATTTGATCAAACGTTACGTTGCGACGGCGACGGCGGCGGTTGGAGACACCCCACTTTCATCATCACCATGTCGAAGAAGTCGAAGAAGACCTCCACTGAGCCCAAGGTCGAGAAGGCCGAGAAGACCGAGAAGTCGTCCTCGAAGAAGTCGAAGAAGTCGAAGAAGTCGTCGAAGAAGACCTCCAAGTACGTTGCCTAGCCGCAGTGCACAATGAGGAGCCCCTCCCCCCCCGCCATGGGTCGTTTTTTTGCCACCGCTCCGCCTCAAGCCCACGCGGGGAGCTGCAGCCATCGCCCACACCCCGCAGCAGCAGCGCCCAGCCCTGCCGCATCTCTTGTGTCCTACCAACTGTGCGCGGGATACACTTGGAGCACTGCACCGCTCCAGTTTTCGCTTTCCACCTCGCTGCGTCTGCCATCACCAACTGTCACCCCCATGGCTCGCTGCTGCGGGTGGATGCTGGTCGCTTGGGCGTGAGCAACAGAAGGAATTGTGCAGCGGCGTCGGTTTTTTTCGCCCTCGCAAGTCGGGCGGCAAAAAAAGGTCGCACAGCGGGCGCACCTCCGCCTTTTCCTCCCACCCCCCCCCCCCCCCTCCCCCCCTTCCTCCCCTTCCGGCTCATCATCAGCACTCACAACTTGTTCTGCGCCATGGTGTGCCACCACTACAGGTCCTCGACCTCTGAGGCCGCCAACTTCCCTGGCCGCTACACCTACTCGATCGTCGGTGTCCGCGAGCTCGGCCCGGGTGGCGTCCCGCTCAACTCTGGCTTTGGCGGCTACGGCGCTGGCTTCGGCACCGGCTACGGCGCTGGCTTCCCGCAGCAGCAGGCTGGCTCCGGCTACGAGGCCCAGCAGCCCGCGTTCGGCTACCCGTCGTTCGGCGGCTACCCGCAGCAGCAGCAGTTTGGCGGCTTCCCGCAGCAGTTTGGCGGCTTCCCGCAGCAGCAGTTCGGCGGCTTCCCGCAGCAGCAGGCTGGCTCGGGCTACGAGGCCCAGCAGCCCGTGTTCGGCTACCCGTCGTTCGGCGGCTACCCGCAGCAGCAGCAGTTTGGCGGCTACCCGCAGCAGCAGCAGTTTGGCGGCTACCCCGGCTACTTCTAAGCCGTGATGGCCCGAAGGGCGGTCTTTTCCATGTAAAGTCGTCCTCGTGACCCTGGCCTTGATGTCGCATGTGTGTGTGTGTGACGATGATCGCAGCAGTGTGATGTAGGCCCAAACTGCCTCCCCCCCCCCCTCACCCCACCCCCCCCCCCCACCCACTACC